CTGAGCAGCTACACGAGTCCCTACTTGCTAGACCAACCTGCTGGCAGGCAGCACAGGCATGAGGGGGTAGGGGTGAGGTGTGGGTATTTGGGTCTCTGAGCCGCACAGGTACCCTGTGCAGGAGACTGCAGTGTGGAAGACCAGTTATGACTTAAGCAAGGCGGAGGCAGTGAACAACGGGACCATGAAACCATGGCTACCTTCTGTGGCTCGTCTTAAGGACTAATCCCACACCTGAGGTAGAGGTGGCTGATAGACCTCCCTCTTATCTCTGGGGGATTTCTGAAGACTTCCTGGGCTGGGCAAGGTGTGGAGGAGGATGCCTGACCCAGCCAGTCATCAGACAGCCACAGGCAGGGTCAGAGGGTGCCACTGGCCTGTCCTCCTCTTTCTGAGTCAAATATTAACTCTCTGGCCTTAAAGAGAGGGTAGGGATCTGGAGATGGCTAGAGAAATAGCAGGAATTTGGAGGGTTTGTTTAAGAGGTAAAGTTCAGCATGGTCATGAAATGAAGAATGAGAGGGCGAGAAGAGGGAATATGAGAGAGAAGAGGGTCTCTGAACCACAGAAAGAGTGCCCAATGCTTGTTTTAGGGGCTGAGGAAAGGGGAGGTTTTAGGTTCCCTAGCTCTACCTTCACTTTGAAGGCACACCTGTTTACACCTGGGGCCTCCTATTTGCTCAGCACAGAAGGGCCAGCCCTATGGCTAGGGGAAGTCAGTGCCAAGGATAGGGACGAAGATCAGAGAAACCACTCAGTGTGGAGGGCATGGCATTCATTCTGGGTCACATTGGTCCTAAAGACTGTGACACTCTTGCACACAGGTATGCATACATGTTCAAGTAGGGCCAAGAACAGACATATTTCCAGGAGTCATACACACCCCCTCCACGGAAACCTAGCAGAAGTGTGTCCACACAGAGGGCCAAGAGCACACATAGTAACACATATCCATAAGGTAGGGCTTACATGCCATCCTTTCAGTGGTTCACACATCCGTGGGTGAACAAGCAGGGCTACATACACGGCTTTCTATTCAGCAGGAGTGTCTTGTCCACACCCATTCGTATAGGGGCATTCACACGAAACTGTCTCTAGTGGGCCAGGCAGAGCGCACACACACACACTCAGAGTCCTCGGACGCAGTTCCATCCAGGCAGAGACAAGCACTCATGAAATGCTTTTGCTGCAGGCTTGGTGGCTGCCAGGGTCTGCGGGGGTTAGATGCATGGCAGAGTCCTGTTCCTTTTCCTGAAAGTCTTGGTTGTAAGGCCAGCTCTCGCTTTCTCTCTCTCTCTCTCTCTCTCTCTCTCTCTCTCTCTCTCTGTGTGTGTGTGTGTGTGTGTGTGGTGTGTGGTTCTGACCTGGGGTGAATTCCTGTAAGAGAGAATGCAAGGGGGGAGGAGGGCCTCGAATTTAGCAAATGAAACGTGGAGTGCTATCTTAGCAGCCCTGTTTCCCCCACAGTCTGCAGTTGTAGATCTGGGGAACTGGGCTGAAGCCTTCAGCCCCACTTAACCTGTTGTGAGGGCCAGGGTAAAGCACTGGGGGCGGAGCATCCACCCCTCCCCCAGAACTGGAGGGTTCAAGGTTTCCAGTTCACACCCCACACTTCACTCAAGTTTGGGTTCCTTCTCAGGGCCTGCCTGCTGAACTCTGATCATCTTCTGTTATACCCTAGGGTGGAGAAAACTGGGGAGGGGAAGATGCCCCCACCCCCAACAGGATCAATAGGCTCTCGACCTTCATCCCTGATGCCCACCTGCCTGGGGTTAGCGGTATTTCCCTCTGCCCGGTAGGATGGCGGTCTCTCCTGGTTTGAGGGCGCCTCTCCCTCATCTTCCCCTCCCTCCACCGTCCTGGACAGTCCGCGATTCTCTCCTTTGATCAGATCTAACCTCAGCATCTACTGCTGCGGCTCTCGAGGACAAGCTCTCCTTCGATCCCGCCGGAAGCCGGGAGACATGACCCAGATCCAGGGGAACACTTCTCTCCACGCGGGTCCCTGCCCCTCTGGGGTCCCCGATTCCGCGAAGGCCGGTCTGCGCCCTGTGCGACCCGAGGCCTGGCCCGCACCCCTCTAGAACCTTTTATGCGGGACCAGGGGTCTCGGCGGTGAAAAAGGCCTGGCCTACCTTGGCGAGTGGAATGGACGTGGACAAGGCTTCGCCCAGCCGCGGCCCCCGGCCCCGCCACCGCCCGCACTCCCCGCCTCCCTCACCTTTGCGCTGGAATCCGGGGCTCATAGAGACAGCGACGTGCGGCTCCGCGGCCCCACAGCACCAGCTGCGGGAGGAAGGGGCCGCGGCCGGAGCGAGGCGGGGTGGAGGCGGAGCCGGGGGTGGGGCGGGGGCCGGAGGCGGGCCGGAGGCGGGGGGCGGGGAAGGGCGCCCGCCCTCCTTCGAGCCCCCGACCACGCACAATAGACAAGATTTGTGGGAGATGCTCGAGGCCCACGGCTCCTGGCGTCCTCTTTCTTCCAGGCTCAGTCGGTCTGGGTACCGCCTGCCCCCTGGTGGGGGCTTCACTACCGCGTCCGCCCTAAAACAGGCTTGGTCCTCCTGCAGGTCGGCTCTGGTCCTAAGACCCTTCCAATTACCTATTGCAGGGACGCGTAAACCTCGGGTCCCGGAGTCCTGTACTCTGCTCTCTAACCTGCACCTCACTTCTTGCAAAACATGTTTGCCATGCCCTCCTGCCTTTGGCCTAGGGTGTGCAGACGAGGACCACAGTAAAGGCTTCTGCGTAGCTCTTAGTTCCCAGCTCAAGGTGTGTGGTTTCCCTTCCCCGTCCCCCTGCCGCCTCCCCCCGCCCCGCCCCGGCTCCCCACCCCTCGCCAGGCTGTTCAGTGGGTGAGATGGGGTCCTGGAGGGATGAAGGGACAGCACACAGAAAATGCTCTTTATGCATAAGTAAGCCATGACCGTATGCACGGGTTCAATCAACAGATCTTAGTCCAAAGCCAGGCTCACCTCAGGACTGCGTTTCTCATTTTCAATCGTCATTTTTATCTCCAAACTTTGAATGTTCCCAGGCAACCAAACAGTCTGTGCTTGCCAGGTTCAATCTCCTTCCCCCACTCCTTTTAGGGTGGTCTTCCCTGAAACACTCAGCTTCTCCTCCTTCCCAACGGCAATTAGAGTGAATATAGGGCTAAGGTTGTGGCTCAAAGGTATAGTACTTGCCTAGCATGCTGGTCACTGTGATTTTATCCCCAGCACCACAAACAAACAAACAAATCGGCAGTGAGCTCAGCTTTAATCCTAGTGAAACCTGTCCTTTGCCCATAAACCCCACCAAAAAACAAAACAAGCAAAACAAACAAACAAAAAATAGCAGTGATGGGCAAAGAGGACCAGATGAGAGTCTGAAAAACACACCCTTCCTTGCATGTGAGTAGGCTTCTAGTGGCATATTAAACTGATGAAAGAGAGCCTGGGAAGAGACTTCATTTCTCTCCCAGGATTCTCCAAAGCTCATACAGTTTGGCACTCGATCTCATACAATCTGAGTTTGGGCTGTGTGTGTGGCTGCAGACTGCTAGACAGAAGGGCCCAGATCACACTTCCACCCCCTGTCAGAATGTTTCCTGGCACTCTGCAAACAGGATAGTGTGGGGGGTGGAGCACGGTAGAGTGGGAGAAATGCTTACATTAAAAAGTGCACACACGTTAGACATGCATTTCTTTTGTATGAGCATGCATGCTCGCACGCATGTCACCACCCAAGTGTAGTTGTCCAGAGGATAAATTGCAGGGAGTCTACTGTTTCCAGCATGCGGGTAGGGCCTAGGCATCAGACTCAGAGGTTGTCAGGCTCAGTGGTGACACATTTTATCTGCCAGGCTTTTTCACCTGGCCAAGCCAAACACAAGCTTAATACACTGCCCTGATTGACTAATTCTTCTTCTCCTCCTTCTCCTTTCTTCATCTGCTCCTCCTCCTTCTTTGAGACAGGGTTTCTTTGTGTAGCCTTGGCTGTCCTGGATTCACTTTGTAGACCAGGCTGACCTCCAACTCAGAGATTTGCCTGCCTCTGCCTCCCAGAGTGCTGGGATTAAAGGTGTGCTCCACCACACCCAACTCCTGATTGACTTTCTTTTTTTCTTTTTTTTCTTTTTTTTTTTTTTTTTGTGTGTGACCCCATCCCATTCTGAGGAGTTAGTTTCATTTTATAGCTGGGAAAACAGGTTCTAAGCAGATTGTAATGCGCTTTGTAATCGGTTGAGTTTATGGAGGACAGGGTTGGAGAAGTCTGAGAAGGCTAAGCCAGGCAAGCCTAGGGAAAATGACTAGAACTTGTTTGGTGGAAGAGGAAGAAGAGAAAGGACATACAAAAGGTTGATTAGTTTGATCTGGCAAGACAGGAGGGTTCTTTGTGGAAGACAGAGGGCTAGAAGTCAGCTGATATCTTGGAAAGACTTCAAAAGAGCTGACAGCAGCTTCAGTACAGCTTGAATCAAGACACGGCTAAAGGACCTCTGTGGGCTTTATGGGAAAGTGGATTGGAAGGGAGAGGACTGCCAGCCCTAGCACCTGGCATTATGGAGAGACTTTGAAAGATCCCCGGAGGGTATCTTCCGTCTGAGAGACCCCTGCCCAAGGATCAACGAGCCCAGGCGTTCGGATGCAAACAGCAAGAGGCTTTTATTTTGATACACGGGTACCCGGGGCGAAAAGTCATTCGGGAGACTTCCGCGCCCCCCAGGTAGGAAGCTGGGGTTTTTATAGGGTTTTAGAGCAGAAGCACTGGTACAGAAGCGAGAGGCATGGTTACAGGGGGCTGATTGGTACGTTTACACGAGACCACAATTTGCGTCAAAGTTTGGCAGGGGCACCAAGATTTCAGGAACTGGGTGGTCAAGGGGGTTATGATGACCCCTTGACGTGGCCCGCCACCTGTTATTTTGTTTTTCTCTATCTTAACTGAAACAGTCTCACAGATATCTATGAGGGTGATTAACACAAACTGTTTTTAGTATGACTGGGGCAGCCTGACCACAGATATCCCAAGTGGGTGACACAGCTAGGATTTTTCAGTAATTTTCCAGTTCCCCACCTAGCCTATAGAGTTTTACAAAACAGTGGTGTCTCACAAAATGGCGTTAGCTATGTTTAACTTAGGGTGAGGCTGGGGTCTTTCAACTTCAGGGACCACTAGGCTACGAAGTCTGGCTCCCCAAGTTCACACACTTGCAGTGTTGACTCCTCATTCCTCAGGAGGAAGTAACCAGGCCAGTGTGGCAGGTTCTTTCGCTCACTGAGTTGTAGGAAGCTAAGGAAGTCTTCAGTGGATGTGTGAAGGGCAAAGTCCTGAGTGACAAATCAAGGACCCCAATACCTCAGAGGGTCCTGGGTGACCCGAGCCTTCAGCTGGTTCGTGTGGATGTTGGGAGTTTGCAAATACAATAGTATGTGCAACTAAGAGCGTCATAAGAATGATTTTCCAGGGCTGGAGAGATGGCTCAGAGGTTAAGATCACTGCTTGCTCTTCCAGAGGTCCCGAGTTCAATTCCCAGCAACCACATGGTGGCTCATAACCATCAATACTAGAATCTGATGTCCTGTTCTGGCATGCAACTGTACATATAGCAGTAGAACATTCATACATATAAAATAAATAAGTCTTAAAAAAAAGAGTGAAGTTTGTGTTCTCCAAAGAATCCCAAATGGCATCCTCACACAGCTGCCCTGTGAAGCAGCTGGCGGTGTCCAGGATGACTTATGCCCCACTCAACAAATGACCTGCTGTGTCTCTATATTAGAACTAATTGCTTTTTGAGACAAGATCTTATAGAGGAGGCTGATCTTGAAATTGTTTCATAGCTGAAAGTGACTTTGAACTGACCCTCCTGCCTCCACTACTGAGCTCAAAGCTCTGTCCCACCAAACCTGTTTAGTGCTTATTTGTTGTGATCCAAGTCTCTCTTTCACAGTAAAGAATTTTCCTCTTGCCAGCTTGATTGGCAGGGAATAGAAATGTCTGCTAAAGGGAGGATCCTATAGAAAGGTAGGATTGAACTCATGATCCCTGGAAGAGCAGCCAGTTTTGTTTTAAACTCTGAGCCATCTCTCTAGGCCCAACAGTGCCCTTAACCTCTGAGCCATCGCTCCAGGCCCTACAAACTTCACTTTTGTTCAGTCTTCCCCAGCTCTGCTGTAAGATAAAGTGGCCCTGGTGTCCTGACACACACCTTGGGGCTGCTGTGGTTCTAGGGTTGGCACACAGAAGTTAACTCTCTGTGTTGGTGACCTAGGAAGAGGAAGTATACAGATTCCTCAGGCAGGGGTTCCCTGAGGCATGAGAACATGGGCCTAATGAAGATGTCCTGTCTCCTGCTCACTGTGGTGGCCTTTGCGCCTGCTTTGCCATCTCTACCTCTGGTTGCCCGGCACTTTTTAAAATTGTTTTAATTTATGTGTATGGGCACTTTGCCTGTGTGTGTACGTATGTATGTGCACATGCATACCTACTGCCACAGCTGTGAGTTGCCCTGTGGGTGCTGGGACTTGAACCCAGGTCCTCGAAATGTTCTCGGTGCTCCCGACTGCTGAGGCATTTTTCAGCCTCGCCCAGCACTTTCTTTATGGTGTGTGTGATCTTTCGGCCGTATACAGGCAAGGTAGCACCCGACACCCGGGCAACACTGCTATAGTTACTCTGCCCCTGAAGCCTGTTCTGCCTGTTGAGTCTTCCAGAAACCTAGCTACTTGTCTTGGAGTCAGACTGAAAGCTGGACCTTCTGGTTTGCCCTCTCTTGACTCCAGCCCTGGTTAGCAAGAAGGGAGTGTCAGGACATGTTTGCAGATGCTGGAAAACTACCATCAGCATGTTTGGTGGTGGTGCTGAAGCCCAATCTCATGTTATAGCCCAGGATGGCATCAAATTTGTCATCTTCCTGCCTCTGCCTCTCACGTGTGCTGGGATTATAGGTATGAGCTATCATATCAGGCCATCATGCTTGGTTCATTTAGTTAATCAGAAATCACCTTATTTTTGGCAGAAGGCTGTATGAGATAAGGCCTGATTTAGAAGTAAGCACAGGTGCCAGCCTCTGGTCAATTTTCTTTTAAAAATTAACTTAGTTAATATTTTATGTGTGTGGGTGTTTTTGCCTGCACATATATCCATGCACTAAGTTCATGCACGGTGCCCACAAAGAATAGAAGAGGGCATAGGCTCCCTTGGAACTAGAGTTACAGTAGTTAGCCATATGGGAATTGAAACCAGGTCCTGTGGAAAAGCAGCCATATTAACTGTATTCCATTAAATTTGTCTTTTTAATTTTTCAAGAAAGGGTTTCTCTGTATAGCCCTGGACTTGAACTCACAGAGATCTGCCTGCATCTGCCTCTTGAGTGCTGGGATTAAAGGCATGCATCACCATGCCTGGTTATCAAATGTCTTTTTTTTTTTTCCTCAAAATTATTTACTTATCTATTTAAGACAGTTTTTCTGTGTAGCCCTGGCTGTCCTGGAACTCACTCTGTTGACCAGGTTTTCCTCAAACTCAGCAGATCCACCTGCCTCCACCTTCCAAGTGCGGGCAATCACAATAGCCAGCTTCAACTTTTTGTCTTCGTTTGTTCTGTTCATGCTGCATGCCAGGCTTTGTGCTGAGTGACTGTTACATATTTGAGTCCTTACAAACCCTGAAATGGACAGTCATTCCTTTCAACAGATTGAAGCAGCTCAGTTAACTTGCTAACGACGGTCACGGGTGGCTCTGAATCCTTCTGCAGTGCATGGCATCACCTTTCATAACTCTGGAATAAGACACCCAAGTCAAAGCTATTTTTTTCCTTTTCTGTTTTCCCTTGGTTGCTAGCAGGTGTCAGTCATGAGTTGTATGTTGCTTACCACAAACCCTACTGTGTAAGTAACTCAACAGCAGCCAAATGGATGTGGCAAATGAGGTAAGAATGAGATGATTGAATTGCTAACTGTAAGTACACAGCAAGTTATCAACTGGGTTATGTCAACATGAACGGTGGAGAGCTGCGGCTTTGTTTTCCACAGATAAAAAGCATCAAGCTAACAACAAACAAAAACCAAAAGAACAAAACACCCCCAAATAGGCAGGCACTGTAGCACACACCTGTTATCTCAGCACTCTGGAAGGCACAGGCAGGTGGATTTCTGTGAGTTCACGGCGGGCCCGGTCTACAAAGTGAGCCCAGGACAGCCAAGGCTACACAGAGAAACCCTATCTTGAAAATAAACAACAACAACACCAAAACAAAACCAAACCCCCCCCCCAAAACCCCAAACCCCAGAGACTCCAAAGCAAGGAAGAAATCAGTTTAAAACAGGGCATTCCAGATACTTAACCACCTTTACTTAATCAAATGTTACCAGACACGTTTAAATTGAGAAAAAAAAAAGTTTAATAACACATACACATACATTCAGAGGACTTTAAACAAGACATAGTATAAAATTTTAAAAGGAAAAAAAAAAACCATTACATTTACTGCCTTAGAACTAATAGATTAACTGGCTGACAAGAATGTCCCAGGGAAACTGAGGCACAGACGATGAGGCGCACCTGCACCATCGAGTAGGCATACCCACCGAGATAGAATTGTGCTGACTCACATGCCCACCACCTGTACCCCACTCTTGTCTCCTGAGAGACAAGCCAAGTCAGTTTGTCAGTTTTCCAACTCAGCTACTTGTCAATGAGTCACTTTTTAAGTTTAAAAAAATTACTCTTGGCTTAAAGACTCCACACATTATTACTGGCCAGTCCCCACCAACTGTATTTTGATTGAGAAAAGAAAAGAAAAAAAGAAAAAAAGAAAAAAAGAAAAAAAGAAAAAAAAAAAAAGCAAAGAGGAAATGCTTCAACAGAGCCTGATGGTAACACACTATCTTACCTATCTTTTACTGGGGATATATATATATATATATGTTTCTTGTTTTTTGTGAAGTCAAAAGCAAGCTACTACTTGCATTCAAAACAAAAACAAAATGCCAACCTTCCAAAAGGTGACAAAGGCACCGCTGCCATCAGGAGATAAGACAAACACACAAATGCCGACTTTAGAGCTACACAGATGATTGTGCACGGAGAGCCTCTTCACTTAACATGTTATTACAGATCTATGTTTTCAGATAACAAGAAAAGCAGGTCAGAAAAGGCAACAGTCACACACAAAAGCATCAACACAAGTACTTTAAATTTCAGCTTGCAGCAAGGGTAATAAGTTTGACATACACATCCAGAAAATTAGACAAGGATTATTTTTGGCACAGTAATATTGCCAAACACAACACCACTCAGTGCAAGCTTTGTTTGCCAAGTCCCAAATGTGGCCTGACAGTCTCTGTGCAATGAACATTTCCTCCCTCTCTACCATCCCATTTTCTGGGCAACAGGTGGAGGGAGACAATGCGTGGGGACTCAAAAGGAGATGGAAAATACTTGATTTGGGAGAAAAACCATGAGCTGCTTGTGCTAAAATAGAACCACAAAATTTATACGAGAACCCAAATGTAAATACTGACTGGACTATGACCTGGAGACTGTAGACTGCTACCAGAGTCATAAATACAAAGGCCTAACCTGATGTCTGGCCATTTACCTTAAGGGGACAGATAAAGTATTTTTCTCTAATGGAAAAAGACAATTGAAAATAGAGATTTTATTCTTATTAGAACTGCTAAATAAGAATGTATCAAAGTGGTTTTAAATTTGATGGGTGGTTATTGGTTGAAACTGCAATATAAAAGGGTCACTTAAAAACCTGAATAACCCACTTGTCCCCATCAATGTACACAATAGAAAATATTTACACACTGTAATTACAAGCAATATAAGCAGATTTTTATACTTTGAGATTTTGTACACTTTACACAATGCAAAATGAGAAATATATGAACACTTATAAAATTACACAGAAATAATGTATCTACAAGGTATTAAATTACAGAGTGAAAGCTCCCATTGCTGGGCAGATAGATGCCAGAGTTTCCAGCTTCTGTCAAGTATAACTCTTCGTATCTATCTCTTTAACCACAGTGGCATTTGTAAAAACACCCTTGAGAGGTAGCATCAAGATAATAATCTTACCAGTAAACTCTACGCAGAATAAAACTTTTGTTGGTCTGACTCTTGGAGCCTCAATCACCCTCAGTTCTTCAAAATTTGATTTGTTTAGTCTTCTCTATGAAATCTCTAACTGCCCACTGCTTGACATGAGCTTAAAAGTTAATAATGCTACTTTAAATGATAAATTTAAGATAGAATGGTTTTTATTCCTAAGCCTCAATTTAGAGGTAGAAAGTTAGCTCTCAGAATTTATTTTCTCTCTCAAACCTTGAGCCCAGTTCCCTTTTCCACCACTCCCACCTGGACCCACACAGACATTAGTATGCGCAGGAGGGAGCAAGTCGCTCCAGCCAATATTCAGAGAATAAACAGTTGGCATCCCTTTGGGGAAGCAAACCTTCCCCAAAGGGACAAAGGTCAGCAAGTGTTAACTATCAAACATTTAAAAGGGCCTCAGGCTCAATCTAGCACGTGCACCTCTGCTAACCCTCTACCATCTAAACTAAAGGATGGCTTTCCAGTGTTTAAAAGAATTTAGAGCAGCTGTGGTTTTCAAGTGCAACAACTTCAAGATACAAAGTTGCTCACGCATCCACACACCTGTATACACACACACACACACATACACACACTCCCCAAAATAAACACCATCAAGGCCTCTGCTAAATTATATACTCGTGGAAACAAGGTTTTTGGAAACTTCCAGATTTTTAAGCCTTTATACAGACTTCTGTAGTTTAGTTATCAATGGACAGAATTCTAGCTTAGCTGAGATTTTATGATTAAACCAGTATTTTAAAAATATACGCACTTACAAAGAAATCCTAAACAAACTGCTTATGAATGTTCTGGCATTTTAAAGACAGCCACTACTTTGTAGTTTAGTCTCTTCCTCTAAGGGCAATCTGACAACATACCAGATATCTGTTTAAGTTGATTTTAAATATATTTCAAAACCTCAGATTTATAATCTTGAAGAGTAGAGAATATGTATGGGTGAAACTGCCTACAGTTTATGGGGTTACAGAAGAGACCGACACTTCTAATTACAAAGCTCTATTCTAAGTCTTCCCTTTGCACCCTAAAATAACCAAGAAGAAAATGAAAACCAGCTGGACCTTGCTTGGCCTTTGTTTCAATGTCCAACTTTTCAAGCTGGTCCACATTTTCCCTCCTTATTTCCTGTGGTGATCCAAGTGTTATGTAGCCATCTAACTAGATAACCACTGAAAACTTAGTGAGGGGCGTTAGGAAGAGCAGGCTGGGTCCACAGCTGCCAGCATTTCTACCCCTACTCTCCTTTCATCAGGCTCTAGGCTTTCCTCCATGGTCAGGTGCAGATGGCATTTCCTATCTGCTTTAGAAACGGCAAAGTCTTCACCCCAGCCTCACACTGCTTATGCCAGTGGCACACAGCTGTGTTCCCTAGCATCGCTGGATCCCACAGTATTCCTCTTGGAAAGGCCCTTCTCATTTTGAATTTTTGTTGCTGTAACTCCTGTTAAGAATCTGGCACCCAAAAGTCATGAAGCTGCCCCTGAAGAAGAGAAGATAAAAAGGAAAATTTTAATCAGATTACAAATTAATCCTACAAGTACTAATCAGTGGATAGTACACTTTTAATAACGACAGCAACAAAATCACTATATATACACATATATGAAAACCAATCTCTTATTTTTTTTTGAGACAGGATCTTAATATATAGCCCTGGCTAACTTTGAATTCACAGGTATCTGCCTGCCTCTGCCTTTCAAGAGCTGGGACTAAAAGCATGAAGCAACCATGATCAGATGAAAATTTCTTATGATTTTATAGCCTTTAGAGTTTGTGCTCTGGCAATAAAAAATAAAAAAAAAATACAAATATAGGGTATTTTTCTCATGGGCTCATTCACAAAGGGATGTATTTAAAAAGATTAATGTATCAAATTGACTAATATAAACTTTTGCTATTAACGCCACACTGGCACAGAGAAGTGGCCTTTAAATGTTGTAGAGGTGACTGGAGAGATGACTCGGTGGTTAAGAGCACTGACCACTCTTCCAGAGGACCTGGATTTAGTTCCCAGCACTACATCTGGCCTTGACCTCCCAGACATAAGTCTGCCTCTTGTCTGCCAAATGCTGGGATTAAAGGCATGTGCCACCACCCCTGGTTTAGAAATATTATTCTTCATGGTCAGAAAGTAGGAAGAACTCATGCTCACCTGTATGGATAAATGTTATATATCCATACAGTCAAATGTCACTTAGCAATAGAAAGAATATACATATTGTAACATGGATCTCTTTATCAATGTCAGGTAAAAAAAAAAAAAAAAAAAAAAAAGCTGGTCATGAAAGACCACAGTTTATTCATGTGTAGAAACTAGCTAGAAGAAAATATCCACAGAAAGCAGATAAGTATCTGCCTAGGGCTTAAGGAGAGCAAAGAGGCCTGAAGGTGTTGGAGGAACGGGAGGGACCGCCAGAGTTAAGGTGTGGTGACGATCAGCTTAATTCTGTGACTACACTAAAAGTCACTACAGACTAAGTGGTATACAATGTGCATTTTTTCTTATCAACTGTTAGCATACTCATGAAACAATCTCCATTTAATTTAATGTGATACTTTTAAATGGGTGCAAGCCATTTCTGGAAATGGACAGAAAGCAAACAAATCCTAAAATCCAGACACAAAATCATCCATAATGCAAGAGTTTTCATAATAAATAAAACTGTTAAATAAAACAACACCTGAGTAGGCCGACAATTCTGGATTATTTCCTGCCATTTTCCATGTATCCTGGCAACCAAGTCTTTCACCTTAAAAATAAAAAGAGAAGAAGATATTAGATCAAAGCATCCTCACAGAAAACCAGTTAAGCATCTGACAGAAAGCCACTGTTACGGTGCATAGCTACACTCCCAGCACACAGGAGGACTACTGGAGGTTCAAGGCCACTCTGAGCTGCAGCATGCCATCCTGCTTTAAAAAAAAAAAAAAAAAAAAAAAAGCCCCACACAAAACAGTAACAAGAAAAATAAATACAGAGAGCCACAGTTATCACAGCCCATACCCAACAATTCTATTTTGATTGCTGTCAAGAAAAAGCTACTCATCTTTTGGGGGAGGCTTTCAATGTTTTCATTTATTGCTGTAATTTATTTTTCATAATCTAAAATGTCAAAATGATTATGACTTAATTTCCCTGTTTGTTTTTTGAGATAGGGCCTCTCAATGCAATCCCGGCTATCCTCCAACTCCCTATGTAGGCTAGGCTGACCTCAAACTCCAGAGATCTACTTGTCCCTGCCTCCTGAGTGCTATGATTAAAGGTGTGAGCAACCACACCCATCCTTAATCTTCTTTAATTTTATTTTATGTGTATGGGTGTTTTCCCTGCATTCACATCTGTTCATTGTCCACTGAGGCCAGAAGAGGGCTTCAGATCCCCTGGAACATACAGATGGTTGTGAGCTGCCATGTGGATGCTAGAAATCTAATCCTGGTCCTCTGGAATGTCTGTCAGTTCTTTTAACCACTAAACCACCCTTAATTTCTTTTTTTTTTTAAATTATTATTCTGGGCTAGAGAGGTGGCTCAGAGGTTAAGAGCACTGCCTGCTCTTCCAGAGGTCCCGAGTTCAATTCCCAGCACCCACATGGTGGCTCACAGCCATCTATAGTGAGGTCTTGTGTTCTCTTCTGGCATGCATGCAGACAGAATGTTGTATAGACAATAAATAAATCTTCAAAAAAATTATTATTCTATGAGATAGTTGCCCTGTGTAGCGTGGCTAATATTAAATTTAAAGTAATTTAAATTTAAAGCAATTTTTCTGCCTCTGTCTCCCAAGATACAGGGGTTAAAAAAAATCCATCACCATGCCTGGTTTCCTGTTACTAAAGATAATCCAGATGGTCCATAGGACTACAACTCAACCTTCAAAGAATTTTCTACTTTCTATTATCTGGCTTTTGAACACCCAGCTGGGAAGCTGAAAGGTGCACCATGTTACAGGGTCCAATACATTGGCTGTTCCTAGCTTTACCACAACTTGTTTTTAAAAGGTTAAACACAAAGACACACATACACACAAAGTAGGGCTGGAGATATGGCTCACTAGCTAAGAGCACTTGTTGCTCTTACAGAAGACATAGATTTGAGTCCCGGCACTTACATGGTAGCTCACAACCATTTATAACTACAGATCTAGGAAATCCCATACCCTTTTCTGGCCTCTGAGGGTAACCAGGCACAAACACAATGCAGATAAACACACCCAAGAAAAACACAATCACATAAAGTTAAGTAAATAAGCCTACCATTTTTTTTTTTTTTTTTAAGGATTCAGGAAGAATCCACTCACTTCTCTCATCTCTCGGTTTTTCAAGACAAGGAGTCTAGCCCTGGCTGTCCTGGAACTTGATCTATAGACAAGGCTGGCCTCTAACAAACAGAGATCTGCTTGTCTCTGCCTCCCAAAGGCTGTGCCAAACTCAATGGTTTCCACAAAGTGAAGCTCTTCCAGTTTACCACAGTGCTTTGAGCTACCAAATGAGCAATGAAAGGGCCCACTTATCACTCCTGATTGACTCTTAAACATTCGTTGCTTAAGAAAAGCATTTCTCTCTCTCTGTGTGTGTGTGTGTGTGTGCATGCACACACTGAGGAAGGGTCACATGTACCCAGGCTGGCCTCAAAGTAGCTGCGGCTGACTTTGACATTCCCCCCTACTCCTGTCAAATGCTCGGATTGCAGGCATGCTCTACCACTCCTAGAATAAAATATTTAAACAGGCCAGCATTTTTTTTTAAACATACTTTTTCTATGTAGCTCTGATGGCCTACTGGTTATATAGACAAGGCTGGTCTAGAACTCACTGAGATCTGTTTACCTCTGCCTCCCAAGTGCTTGTATTAAAGAAGTGATCCATCACTCCTGGTCATAAGTCAGAAAGACACAAGAGGCAAAAGTCAAGTAGATCTCTGTGAGTTCGAGGCCAGCCTGATCTACAGCAAGGTTCCAGGACAGCCAGGGCTACACAGAAAAACCCTATCTCAAAAACAAACAAATAAAAATCTTCACTTTTCCCCACTACGTAAAGTTTAGCAAACTGCCTTAAAGATAATAACCACTTCTCTACTGGAAGTTTTGTAGGAAGTATGAAGCTACTAACATATTTCAACCTGTTTCAAGGAGGTCATGCCTTGAAGCAATTTACGTGGACCACTGGCTCACCCTCTAAGCAAGGCTCTGACAACAACCTTGCTGGGCCAGCCTGAAGTAATAAAACCCAGGTCAGTGAAATGGCTCAGTGGATAAAAGTGCTTCCTGTCTAAGTCTGGTGGCTTGAATTCCACCTGAGGGACCCAAACTGTGAAGAGTGAACCCATTCCTGTAAGCTGTTCTATGATCCCCACATGAGCAATGTGGCACACATACCCTTCTCCCAAATGGAAAAAAAAAAAAAAAGGCCAGGCACAGTGGCACACACTTGTAATCCTAGCACTCAGAGAGATAGAGGCAGGTGGATCTCTGTGAGTTTGAGGCCAACTGGTCTACAATGTGAGTCCAGGACAGGAAATCCTGTTGTGAACCCTCCCCCACCTTAAAAAAAAAAAAGAAGAATGAAACATCAACCTTAGCGGTCCCTTTGAGAATGACTGTCAGCATGTATAGTAAGTAACCTGTCACACTCCAGAGTACATTTTCCCAGCCCTAGAGTACATTTCTGAGGGCAGGCTTTGTGTCGGAAGCCAAGGGCTATTACTGCACAGTGTATTTGTAAATCTGATTCAACTTCATGAATTGTTCATTTTCATATTTAAAGTGATGCAAATAGACACAGGAATTCCCAAGGAGTACTGTTCAAATAACCAACTTCTGCAGCTAATGACTGTAAAGATATTTTTCTTTTTTTTCTTTTTTTTTTTTTTGTTTGTTTGCCTTTTTGAGACATGGTTTCTCTGTGTAGCCTTTGTAGAGCGGGCTGGCCTCAAACTCACAGAGATCTGGCCTGCCTCTGTCTCCTGCTGGGATTACAGGTGTGCGGCACTGAGCCCAGCTAAGTTTAGTTATTTCTGAAAGTGATTTTCTGTGTGTTTCAGGAAGAACTCAGTCTATTAAGATCAGTCTATTAACACTAAAGTTGCTTTTCTATTCCATTCTCTCAAACATGGTTTTCTACTGTTTTAGGCATAAAGAAACTTAAAAAAAAAAAAAGCAAATTTCAGCAAGATATCAACAGGCAGCAGCTAGTCAATACCTTTTCTCTAAGTAAAACAACTTTTCCTAACCATTATTTTGTAATTATATATGAGTATAAATTTAACCAGTCTCAATCTTTGAAGCTATCCTATACATAAGGTTTTATGTACGGAAGGCAGAGTTCTTCATCATCGTCCACCTTGTTTTCTGGAGAGTGAACACTGGGCCCCCCTGGTCCCTACCCCCACTTACAGACCTGTGGGAGCACTCCCATTTACATGGATCTGGGCTTCCACCCAGGTCCTCAGGCGTGCACAGCAGGCGCTCTACCACACCCTCTGCAAGAGCTTTCATTTGTATAATGGGAAAAGCAAAAAGTCCCAATAGTGCTAAAGACATTTTCTCTTTGGGTGTCAGGAATTTCAGAAGAGAAAGTGAAATGTACTTCCTTTGAAATTATTTTTATTGGACTTTCAATCTAGCTAGAAAAGTACTTAGTAGAAGCTGCCTTGTTGTCCACGTCCTAACCAGAGAGGTAATTAATATCTGAAGACCAAGGTGGGAGGACCAGAAATTTGTTATTTGGCTAGTGAGGTAATTTAGTAGGTAAAACCAAGCCTAAAACCCAGAGTTTTGTCCTCTCGATCCACATGATGGAAGGAAAGGACTAACTCCCATAAGTAGTTCTGTGACCTACATCCCAACCAATACACATACACTGAAGTGTGTGCATATGCCCCCAAGAGACAAAGGAATGTTAAAACAAACAAAGCACCCAAAAGCTGGAGGAAAGCCAGGCACATCGGGGGACGCCAGTGATAAACACTTGGAAGGCAAAGGCAACTGGATTGGTGTGAGTTCAAAGACTGCCTGGTCTACACAATGAGTTCCAGGTCAGCAAGGCCACATATTGAGACACTGTCTCACAAAACAAAAAGAGCTTAAGCCAAGCCTAGGTTATACACTAAAACTGTTTTTACTTTAAAAAGTCCTTTTTATGTTCTTGGAAATCAATCAACCAACCTACCTATCTAATGAAGTGGCTGTCCAATGAAGCGACCAATGAAGCATGCCACCATTAAGCTATACCCACAAGCACTATATATTTTTCCCCTAAAGAGCAGCTTGTGTATTTCTCTTGCTTACATCTTCTTTATCTTCCAAAAAGGCCTCACTGCGTTTTACAAGAAGCCTACAACCCAGGTTTTCTTGTCTTGCTCTTGCAAGCGCTGGGATTACTGGTGGCCCTGCTAAGAATACATAAAACTGGGATGCAGGGCACTCCGTGGGTGAAGTGCTTGCTATGTATGCCGAGGACTGGAATCAAATCCCCAGAAGCAAGTAAAGTCAGTTGTAGCAGTACACATCTATAATAGCTGGAAGCTCTAAGACTAACTATACTCTTAAATCAGGTGTAAAGCAGACAGGCCCTCAAAGCTGTCCTTAAGAGTTTCCCATGTTCACGCATCATGCGTCTGCCCCCACACCCACCACAAATAACATACTTACTTTAGTTCTATAGAAAAGTCTTGCATCTTCCCTAATATCACACTTAACATGCTTTTCCAAAGCCCCACAAAGCAGCACAAAGTGTTTCTATGAAAAACAAAACAAATGCAATAGATGAAAACAAGTCTTGCAAAATTACACACTATGCAGTTAAAAAAACTAAATTGCTTAAAACTTACCTGATGGAGTCCCAGCAGTGAAAGGTGTTAACTTACGTAAGAACTTAATGGTTATGAGTCATTGCTAGTTAATTTAAAAATATATACAAAGGAACTAGGTGTGGTACAGCATGGCATATGCTTGACTCTAGCTATTAGGCCGAGGCAGGAGGACCACTTGAAAATCATCCTGACAAAATAATGAGATCCTTTCTCTTGGGAAAAAAGAAAATGAATAGCAGGCCTCTTGGAACATTCAGTGTGTCAAGTCCTTGCTGCCAGGCCTGACCTGAATTCAGCCTTTAGCACCCACAAGGTAGGATAAGCACTGACTGCCAGGTAGGCTTTGGCACGCTCACAATTTAACTCATGATACTTGTCTCTACCTCTTGAGCGCAGAGAGGGCTGCAATTACAGGCGTATGACATTACTCTTAGCTCTTACTTTAAAAAAATACCTGCCTCCCTGCCCTTTGTTGGGTTTAGAGAGATCTTTCAGTAGATTTTGGTTCCTACAATCCACATTAGGTAATTCACAACCACCTGGTAGCTGTAGCCCCACAGGACGTAGGGTGTTTTGGCCTTCAAGGGCACCTGTACTCACATGTGTATACCTGCTTGAAGGCATACACAGACATGAGAATAAAGTTAAAAAAAATAAAACAAAACCACCAAAACTTATTATTCTCTAAGTATCCTTGGCTGCAGGGGTCAGAAGACAACTTTGTAAAGTTGGTTCTCTCTTCCCTTTCCATAGATGCTGGGGCGTGAACTCAAGAGTATTAGGCTTGCCTAGCAAGCACTCTACCTGCTAAAACACCTTGCTAGTCTCTCTCTTTTTTTTTTTTTTTGTTTTTTAAAGACTTATTTATTTATTACATCTATACCGTTATACCTGCATTCCAGAAGAGAACACCAGATTTCATTATAGATGGTTATGAACCACCATGTGGTTGCTGGGAATTAAACTCAGGACCTCTGGAAAAACAGTCAGCACTCTTAAACCTCTGAGCTACTTCTCCAGCCCCTCTCTTATGCTTTTTAACTGCATTTTAAAATTCTAGTTTTCTGAGGTAGTCTGGCAGTATTATTCACACTGGCCTTGAAACCTCAGGTGCAAGCAAACCTCTTACCTATTCCCCAGAATATGCGGCCTAGTCTCCTGTCACCCAGCAATACTTGAGACTGATTATGTATCTTGACAAGGTAGAAGTGCTTTACCACTGAGCTACACTCCCAGCCTTCTTCCCACGAAGTTGTCCAGGTGGGCCTTGAATTTGTCATTACCTGCCTTAGCTTCCTGAGCAAATGGGATTACAGGCCTATGTTCCTTTTTTTTTTTTTTTTTTTAAAAAAAGGGTCCTTCGGCTGGCTTGGAATTCAGTAAGTGGAATAGGCTCAAACTCATAGGGATACACCTGTCTCTGGTGGGATTAAACAGAAGCAAAACCACAAACAACCAGACCTGGTTTTGTAGGATTCTTTTTGGTTTTGGTCTATCTCTGAGATAAGACCTGACTCTACAGCAGCTGTTCTCAACCTGTGGGGATCACATATCAGATATACTGAATTATCAGATATTTATGTGACGATTCAAACAGTAGCAAAGTTATGAGACAAACTCATGGCAATACTCCTTTCTTAGCCTACAGAATTCTGAGAGTATAGGCATGAGCCAGTTTAGACAACAAGCATTAACTATTTTTAATGAGAGAATCAACTTTATTTTGTCCAGGGAGTTTTCTTGTCTAGAGAGGTGGTGCACGCCTTTAATCCCAGCATTTGGGAGGTAGAAGAAAGAAGAGAAGTTCAAGGTCACTCTCAGCTATATCAGGAACTGGAGACCAGCCTGGGCTATAGAGGATCTGTCGTAAAGCACAAAATAGTTGGCTTGGCGGCACATGTTTTTAATCCAGTTCTTGGGATTAACAGTGCTAGCATTAAAGGTATGCATTACTATGCGTGCCTTAAAAAATAGAATTCTTAATATAGAGATATTATTCAGAAATGCATACATGAAGTAGACTGACTTATCTGTAATTTAACTGGGAAGGCAAACATTTCTAAATCACATTTAAAAATTAATTTTGTATGTATGTACAAATGCTATGGTGTACATGTGGCAACCAGAGACAATTCGTAGGCTGGCTCTCCCCTTCCACTATGTGAGGCCTGGGGATTGAGCTCATTTTGTCCTATCTGGCAGCAAGCACCTTTATGCCACTAAGCTATATCCCTGGTTCCTCTAAATAAGTATTTTTAAAGGTATTTTAGTTTTTCTTGAGAAAAACAAAAGTGAATAGAAGTTCAAAGGAAGAAAGTGGGAAGAAACTAGCTAACAGCTAGCCCATTTGGTGACCCTGGTAGCTTATGAATATATTATACTATTGCAGGGTTATGGTCATTAAGAGCTACTCCAACAAAACTGTTGAGAAATAATTCTAGTCACTATGATATGGTTGCAGGGTGCTATGATTCCCCATCTTCCAGAGCACACTTTGATTCCTTTTGAGTTTTCTTCTAACACACATGCTCATTCATTCCACCAATGGAAACACCTATTTATAATAACACTAAATATTACCTACCCGTTGTCCAGAAGAAAAAGAATGAGAACAACTAACTTCCCCAACTAAATGAAGAAGAATGTAGGTCAGGTAATATGCCTGTTAGAGAGATGAATAAAATTACTACCCATGAAAAAGCTAGCGTAAATAACACCCCAGTCTACTGATTAGCAAAGCAGCCCGGGAAAGACAGGCTTTAACTTAGTTTGAGAGGAAGCCATGCACTTACAAGCAGACTCTGTGATTTCTTTATACTACATTACAATTGCCTCCTTAGTACAGGCCACAGAAGAACCCTTCCATTGCTAACAACTATTCCCTCACCCCAGCACTCAACTCTACTCTCAGGGACTTTGAGACAGCAATAAATTCTAAGACACAGTTTACTATGTGCCCCTATGTATTCTCTGAGCTCTAGCTCTGGATACCTGCTTTTCAAGTTCTAAATGAAGACTGTCATCAATAGTTTCATTTGGTTGTTCAGCCTTTTTCTTCAAGACCATTTTCTTCAACAAATCAGAAGGTTTCATCTGCACTAGATAGCGATGTAGGACTGAGATCTATCAAGAGAAGAGAGACTGGTCAATTCTAAGCAGTGTAGTGCTCTTTCTTGAGCTAATTCCACTGTCCTATTCTCATTCTGGCTCCTTTTCCTGGTTTGATAGTTCTGTGATACCTTTTTTTTTTAAACTTCAAAGTCCTCAAATGCTTAAGGTATTTTATGCTAAGATTTAGTATTTGTTATTTAGGATAAATGCTTAGAACAAGATCAAATGATATAACAGAGGTCATTGAATTCTAAAAAGAAGCATTATCTATCCAATGTGGTGGCTCATGCTTACAATCCCAACACTTGAGGCTGAAGCAGGAGGATCACTGGGAGTTTAGGGCTGACAAAGCTATTAGTGAGTGGGAGGTCTGGATGATATTGACCAGTAAGCCTGATGGTTACTCATTCATGTGGTTCTCTTTTCTATAAGTATAAAAGAAAAAGGTAATAGATAAGACAGACATTAGTAAGACCAACAGCAGAAATCCTATCCTGGATCCACTGGTGGCTATTGCTGAATGAAGTAAGGGCTTTTAATTATCCTAGTGGCTCAGGAATGGTGCCACATATCTATAATCAAAACCACTTCCCTTGATTAGGGTGGGGTCAGTTCTTTCCCACAGCATCTTGTGCACATTCTTACACATTGGCTCACTGTATGTCTTCCAGAGTACAGTCTCATTTTTCAGTTATCCCCAGGTCATAACCTAGTACCTTATAGAGAATTACAATTCAAACAACGATATAGGAACAACTAAAGTTTTGTGACTTTTCAGATCCAAACAAGGGCAGCCCTATCAGTGCTATCATTGTTTGCAAAGCTGTCAGAACTCACAGTGGTTACAGAACTCCTGTAAGATCTTCTTACTCATATTCATATATATCTACTGAACAAGAAGTGGAGGTAAACCACATTAAGCTCTATGATCTTAAAGACCACTATATTAAAACAGCTATTATAAGATGTGGTTAACAGTTCTGCAATTTTTAATCCTGAGATTATACAGGATTACTGAAATTGAATAAATTCTTAACATCATAGCTCTTAACAGCACATTATGATTTTCTCAATAGCTTATTTACAGATTAATTCATCTAATTATAACTGTCCTTCCTATAGGGTAGAGACTATACCATTTCCATTTTTACAGATATTTTATTAAGTGTAATGCAAAAGATAACATTAACAGTATCATGCTTAAAAGCTGAATTTAATCAGGACTTTTGTTTGTTTGTCTTTTTTTGGTTTTCCAAGACAGGGTTTCTCTGTGTAACAAGAGCGTTGGCTATCCTGTACTCACTCTGTAGCCCAGGCTGGCCTTAAACTCATAGAGATCTGCCTGCTTCTGCCTCCCAAGTACCACCATATCCACCATATCTAGCTAACCAGGACTTCTGATTTAGAATTCATAAATTTATTTCCTTCCATCTCACTAACCCTCCAATTTATTAGAAACAAAAGTGTATTTATACCTGAAGATTATTGACATTAGGAATATCTTCATGTTTTTCATCCAAAAGCTTTGAAATAATCACCAGACTGAGGCGCTGCCTCAGCTGTCTGAAATTAGAAATGAAAAGCACTTATAATATGTTTAAACAATTCTGCTTGACAGGCAAGTAAACAATCCCAAAGAAGTCTTAGTCTCTCAGGCTGTCTAAGAACCAACTGTTACCCAGAATGCCCTATGCCCTGGTGTGGTAGTGCATGCCTGTAATCCTAGTGCTCAGCAGGAAGATCAGGACTTCAAGAGCATCCAGTACCACAGGCTGAGTCCAGACTCTGACTGAGCTACTAAGAACTTATTTCAAGGAAAAGTAAAAAGAAAGCCAAGTATGGTCGTGTTTGTCCTTAATCCCAGCACTCAGGAAAAAGAGGCAGACGAATCTCCCAAGACTGAGGCCAGCCTGGTCTACAGAGAGTTCCAGGACAGCCAGGACTACACAGAGACACTCTGTCTTAACACCTTCCCCAGTTTCCCCCAGCAGCAGCAGCAACAACAAAGAAACTGCCTAAAGCTCACTAAAATAAGAATCTCTTGTCATTGATCTTGTTAACTTACTGACAGAAAACCAACCTATTTGGAATAAATAATCTTACTAAAGAATAAAAAAAGTGAATTCATTTTTACGTTATAGATCCTCTATACCAGCAGTTTTCAACCTATGGATCACAACCCCTTTGAGGGTTGAACAATCCTTCCACAGGAGTCGCATATCAGATAATCCTGTATCTAAGATATTTACTTTATAATTCATAATAGTAGCAAAATTATAATTATGAAATAGCAAGCAAAAAAACATGGCTGGGGGTCAGTACAACACGAGGAGCACGAAAGGGTTGCAGCCATTAGGCTGAGAACCATTGCTCTAGATTGACTAATAAATAAAAATAAAAAAATCAAGAATAATCACGCTGTGAATTAAGCAACATAATCAGGATTTCTACACCTTTCCCCTCACTAAAAAAAAAAAACAAAACAAAACAAAACAAAAAAAAAACATTAAAAAAAATGGACAGAAACAGAAGTCCCAAGTTGGGCATGGTGGCATAGGCCTGTAAACTAACACCCAGGAGAGGCTGAGGCAGGAAGACTGTGAACTGAGGCCAGCCTGGGTTACATACTAACACCCTGTCTCAAAATAAGAGTTGTAAAGCATTTAACTAGTGTCAGCATTATAAAACAGCTTGATGCTTATCTCACTTTTCAATACCTTCCACGAGATGTCCAGTTAGGGACTAGCTGTACCAACCACAGAAGGTTGTGGGGATGACTGGAGAGTTCATTTATACCCAGACAGAGCTCATGAACCTGAAAAACAAAATAGCCCATAATAGCAGAATCAGATCTACATAACTTCTTACCTTGATGGAACTCACTAAAATAGAACTATGATTTTTTTTTTTTAACACATGTCATTTAGAACCCACTAAAATGCACATAAAACAAATTCTGTGTTTTCTTAAAGTACCATAGAATGGTCACATTATACTAGCACTTCATGTTACTTTCATGCTATTGCTATACCTTATCTTTATTTGGTGGTCTTTCTTGAAAGAATAAAGTATTCTAATACCAGTTTCTAGCAACATATACACAAGATCATATGTATATATATTAATGACTTGAAAATTCTTACACTCTTGGATCCTATTACAGTATTTTTTTTTTTTTTTCATTTTCTTCTGGCAATAGAGCCCAGCTTTGTAATTGCTAGGCAAGTACACATGCACTGAACTATGTCTCTTACTCTCCAGCTGTTTATTTTGTAATTATTAAAAACCAACAGCTGCTTCAAAATAAACCAATGAGCAGAAGAAGTAAAGATGGGGTATTATCAAACAAGATGGATCATGTCCTGATAATTTATAGAGATCGGTAACAGTTACTCAGGAGTTTATTATAGTCTTCTGTGTTCCAGTGTTATGTTTAAAAACTTTCCCCCCAAATTGTTGAAAATTAACAATAAAAAGGTCTAATAAAATTACCCATGTTCAGCTTCCACATGACTATTTAAGTTCAACTCAATACTGGTTGCAGGTATGACATTTATGCTCAGAGGTCAATCCAGAAAGGCCTTCCATTAAAGGCCTCTGATGACATCACTGCAGCCCTGCTGTGCTAGACTTGCCACCTAGTCGTCACCCTTTATCTTCATTTGCAACATTTAATTACAACCTGAAGTGTTACCACATCTGCATTCCTTTGCTCATCCTTGAACTGCATGAATGATAAGACAGCTCAATGAGGGCAAAGGTGTTGTGCTGTTAGAACCTAGAGATGCCGAGACATAATAAGTCCCCAGTAAATGTTATAAAGACATTGCAGGTGGTGGTGGTGGTGCACACCTTTAATCCCAGCACTTGGGAGGCAGAGGCTGGGGGATCTCTTTGAGTCAAGGCTAGCCTGGCCTACAGAGCAAGTTCCAAAACAGCCAGGGCTGCGCAGAGACAGCATGGCTAGAAAAACAAAATGAAACAAAATACATACAAAAAGAAAGAAAACCCAGCTGCTTTTAGAAAAAAAGTCAGTTACTAGTTTAAATAACAGAGTTCCAGAAAATAGTACCCTCCTCATCTTTGTTAAGCTTTTTAACTGAGCCTAGAACCCTTGAATTCTGAATATGCGTGGAGCACTGGGTTCTAAGACCCTAACACGTAGGGCTTTGTTTGTAGCCACCACGCAGTTGCAGATGACCTATTAGCTCTTCAACTTCCTGCTTTTCCTCTTTTTTTTTCTCCCTGCCTTTACTCTTAATGCAAGATTGCAGGTACTGTGCCACCATCCTTGACTGCAGAAGCTAAATTTTAAGAAACATTACCTTTGTGTTCCAATCTCTGATGTTTTTCATGAGATTTATCAGGAGGCTTTGAAAGTCTACTAATGGAATCTGTTTCAGCTCTTTTTCCAAACTCATTTTAAACAGCATTACAATCAGCAACATTATTTCTCGATCTTGGTAACCTTCTGGATGTATAGATGTACACAAGCCTAGGAACTGCCAGAAATGCACAAAGAAAAACAATTACCTTAAGAGTTGTATTATATTCTGGATAAAGATTCAAAAAAAGGTCCACAGATAACAAGTTTGTCTATAAAAGGCAAGAAATGCAACACAAATAGTAGAATGAAAGGATAAATATTTTCGTCTCCATTTTTGGTATTACTGATTGGATTTAGCAACTAAAATGTTTTCATACTGCAGTTACTTACAGGTCACTAAATTATACAGTCACACTTTAATGATAAAAACCTGGTTTCCTTTTGTTTTATTAAAAACAAAAGTAAAAGACACAGAAATGCATTTATAACAGAAAGATAACTGCCAAGACATTTCAATTGGTAAGAAGCCAGCAGAGTTTTAATTAAACATAAAAACGAGTGCTGACTTTTGCTACAGATATAGTCTTTCCTACCTTAACCACATTTAAAATGTTGGTTTCAGGAAGAGTTGAAAAAACAGGATTACAAGATGAGTCTTCACTTCCTCTTCCCCCCAGTGTTTTCTGTGTTTCAGAACTATTGAGAAGAAAATAAAGCATGTAAATCATTGAGAAAGCAGTAAAGAATCAAGTATAAAATACTTAGTGTAGGAACCTGACGAGCTACACTAAGTCAGGGTGTGACTATGCTGCCCAGGCAAGCCCTAAACTTACACTCTCCCTGCCTTGGCCTCCTGAGAAGCTGGGGTTACAGGTGCATGCTACTGTACCCAGCTTAGTTTTCATTTGAAATGGTTATTTTCCTTAATGCTCTGTCAGAAAGCTACATAAGATAGGGTGAATAGAATAATGAACTTATTATGATAAGCCCTATGAGTGACCCAAGGAAACTGCCAAGTTAATATAAATAATTATAGAGACCAAGGAGACAGCTCAGTGTCATGCAAGCATGATGACCTGAGTTTGAATCTCCAACAACCATGTAAAGATCCAGGCGTGGCTGTGTCTGAAATTCCAACACTGAGAGATGGAAATAGGTATATCCCAATAGCTCACTAGCCAGCCTAGTTGAAGGGTACACTTCTGGCTCAGTAGGAAGACTCTGCCCCAAGGCAATAGGGTGGGAAGTCATAGATGACGATACTCAACTTCCTGCTCTGGCCTCTGGATGTAAATGCACAGAGGAGTAGTACAGGCACACTTATGTGTATGCACTACACACAGATTACCTGCACAGGAGAGTGTGCACACACGCCAATTCTAAGCGTTTGAATTTAGCAAAGGCTGAAGAAGAAAAGGAGACACACAACTTGGCTATTTTATTTTTAATTATATATGTGTATGTGGGTTTGTACACACAACTGCAATGCCAATGAAGACCAGAAGAGGGCATAGAAACTCTTGGAGCTACAATTATATATTACAGCAAACCAAACTCAGGTCTTCTGTGCTCTTAACCACTGATCAATCTCTGCAGATTCTGCATTTAACATATAAATATATATATATATATATTTATATATATTTATATATATATTATATATATATATATATATATATTATATATATATATATTACTTAAAACAACCACCACCACCACCCAACCAACAGTACTCACTAGGCAAACAAAACAAAACAATCTACCCTTCTAACTGGCTCTTTTAGCCACTTGTTCCCTCTTCCCAGGTCTAGTATTGGCTTCAGTCATTCCTGTTGGAGGTTGGACTGATGCTTGTATTTTGATGCTAATTACTGGCATCCAGATCTGGTTACTGCCCTATCCTTGTTGTGTAAGCCTGTCTAAGACATTATTCCTGGTTGGTTAATTAAAAGGCTTAAACCTGGGCAGGGCAGAATAGGGTAGGTGCAGTTAACGTTCAGGGTTTTGGGTTCAGGAGAATCATGGGAAACAGAGAGGAAGAGAGGAGGAAGAAGGAAGAAGGACACAGGATGGGTTAGTGTAGAGAATGAGCCATGTGGGCTGGGAGAAAGGACCCCAAGAATGGTGTGGAAAGGCCCAGATGAAAAATATAAGCAAGTATTTTAGGATTACAGATGAAAGGTAGCCCAGATAGGAATGGATAAGGCAGATGGCACTGGATGGGGGCTGGGAAGTGGATGGTAAGGTTACTGAGATACTGTAAGTGAAATATCTGCCCAGCTCAAGGTAAATAAGGCAGTTGTAAAATCTAACAAGTATCTGACAGATTTATTACTTGTTATAGCAGATTAAATAATACCACTGTGATAATCACAGGGCTAATAATAAACATTATTTAGCCCAACACCCATTTTATTTTTAACAACACCTTCCTTCAATGAGCACCTTACATATAAAAGTCAAGTGTGAACATAGGACCCTGTGCTTTGACAGCATGCTTTTGGTCTTTGTTACCAGGTCCCAGCAAGTGCTACTGAAACTCCTTTTATTCAGATAAGGTGACTTATATGGGCAACAGTAACCTAACCTGTGATTAAAGGGTTAGAAATGAAGTTCTGCCCAGCAGTCTAGAGATCAAATTGACCATCAAATGGCCAACATTTCCACCCACCATCCTTGTGTAAAGAAAGTTCTATAAGAAGTCTTAAGTTGGACTGGAGAGATGGCTTGGTGGTGAAGAGTGTAAAGAACTGAAGTTTGTTTCCCAGCATCCATAACAGGTGGCTCACAACAACCTAACTTCAGCTCCAAAGGATCAGAGACCCTATTCTGGCCTCTGTGGGCACTGTACCCATGTGGCATTCACTTATAGAGAAACACACACATACGCATGAAAGCAAAAAACAAAAACATAAACAAAAACAAAAAACCACACTCTAAAACCCCGTATTTTGATGTTTAGGTGGAAAACCCATATATCTGGTGTCAGAATAGAGTATTTTCAGCCTTTCCTAATACCCCTCTGCACCTACTTTACTACAAACAGTGGCATACTAGGTACTATTCTCTAACTTCCTTTTTCCCCGTCAGCAATGTACCTTGAAGCCCCTTCCATACCCATATGTAAGGAATTTCTTTTTCTTTTGTGTCCCATTACCTTTAATGAGGGCTACTTGCACGAGTGTTTGTGAGTGGGTTTACTTCTTGGGCAAGGCTGTAAGCAGTGTCCACAGCAAAGAGTAAGATGATGCAAGGAGAGGAAGGACAGGTCCTCATTAAGTCTTGTGCAGATAACCACCAAATTTATAGCTACAGCAGCCACATGACACCGAGAAGACAGCATTTCATAGCTTTCCTTCCCAACCTCCAGCTCTCCCACTCTCTGCCCTCTATCTGTGAGCTTCCCTGGGCTTTGGAGCATTGTTTAGTTTTGAGATAGTCTTATTCTGCAGTCCAGGCTGGCCTGGGACCTACAGAGCCCACACTATCTCTACTTTGTGGTGGTCCTCATGCTTCACCCTCTCACATGCTGGGATCACAAACATGAGGCACCATGCTCACTTCAAAAGAAGAAAAAAGCTGGGTGGTGGCGGCACATGCCTTTAATCTCAGCACTTGGGAGGTAGAGGTAGGCTTCTGTGAGTTCAAGGCCAGCCTGGACTACAGAGTGAGCCTATTTCAAAAACAGAGAGTTCCAAGACAGCCAGTTCTGTCTTAAAGGAAAGGAGGAGGGGGGAAGAGGGAGGGGAGGGGAGGAAAGGGGGAAGGGAGGAGAGGAGGAAACCTTTGATCCTCCTCTCTGAGCATCATGCCTGCTCTGTACCACACTGCACGCTTATTTACCCACCTCCATCTTCCCTGACCTTTATGAACCACTGTCTAGTTACAGAACCAATTAAATAATCGAGATTATAATTTAAGAGGTTATTTAATTTTTACTTATGTGCATATGTGTATCTCTGCATGTTTGTGAGCATGTGGGTGCAGTGTCTACGGAGTCCAAGAGAGGGTGCTGGATCTTGTGAAGTTGGAATTAAGGGAGTTGTGAAAAGTCTGACACAAGCGTAGACAACCCAACTTAGGTCCTCTGGAGGAGCAGCAAGTGCTCCTAACTACGAACCCAGATCTCCAGAACCCCCTCCAAATTATACTGCTAAATATTCACATTTTTGTATTAATGCAATTATTTATTCAACCCCACTATTGTACATTCTTATTACAATCAATTAAAAACTTAAAATCCATTGTATACAACATACAAAATTACTATACACTATTGAGTTCATTAAAAATAATATGGTTGAGCTGGGTGTGGTGGCACATTCTGTAATCCTAGCAGTCTGGGAGGCAAAGGCAGATGAATCACTGTGTGTTCAAGGACAGCCTGGTCTACAAAGCAAAAGCAAGTCTATGACAGCCAAACAGGGGGAAACCCTGTCTTAAAAAAAAAAAAAAAGTTGGCATTTTAAGTGTTTATATATGCATTTACTGTACATTGTGTGTATGAGTGTATCCCTGTGTAGGAATATCACAGGGATGAGAGACATTGGATCCTCTAGAGCTGGAGTTAAAGGGAACTGAGAATTAACCAATATAGGTGCTTTGGATCCTTTATAAGAGCATTACAAACTCTTAACTGCCAAAAACCTCTCTAGCCTGTTGTTTCTATCACTCAGAAGTATGAGGTAATTTTAAATGGGTAGTTAGCTAAGTGTGCTGATGGCAGAGGCAGAGACAGGCAAATCTTGTATTCAAGGCAGCTGGCCTATACAGCGAGTTCCAGGCTAACCAGGACCTACAGAAACCCTGTCTAGGTGGGTAGTAGTGGGGTGGTAGAAAGAGGTACTGAGTCGGCTTGGTGTGGTGGCACAAAACTGCAATCTCATAACACTGGAGGCAGAGGCAGGAGAATCTGTTCAAATTCAGAACAGCCAGAGATGCTGCTTCAAACACAAACAAATATTCAATAATACAAGGGGATTTTTTTTCAATGGGCTAGAAAGGCACAGTTTCTATTTAAATTATTAAAGCATATCTAGAATTTTGCTATCTAACATTTTTTTGATATGAAGTGCAACTAAGTAAAAGGAGTCCAGTTTTGATGAAAAGAGAACTAGAAATGAATCTGGCTTTGGACACACCATGTTATAATAACTTGCATTTTTCTTTTGAGCCAAGACGAATGTGTGCTTGTAATTTAAGAACTGCTTTTACTTCTTTTTCTGCTATCAGTTCATTCTTTTGCCCATTTTGTAGTTAGCTGATGTTTATCTTTCTTACTTGAAATCAAGCCCTTGCCTGTGACCAGGCCATGCTCTTGTTCTCACTTGTGCTCCTGTCCCATATATTTTCTTCCCCTCCATTTTGAAGTTTTTCTTTGATATTGCTTATAATAACCTTTGTCATCAAGACTTCAAAAATGCGATCAAATTTGTATTTCCTTTCATGGAGGGCTTACTTTACACAAAACCATCTTTTCCTATTCTGGAATTTTAAGACAGTCCTGCCAGTTTCTTCTATTACTTCTGTATTTTCACTATGTATGTTGAAATCTGTGATCTTTCAATCTGAGGTCTGAGTCCATTCTCCCTGTAAAGGGCTACTGAGCTTTTCAGACATCGGAGAACATCAGGTACTCAACAGCCCTCTTCTGACACTAAGCACTGATGTGTTTTAGGGATTTCTTTAGACTTTACCATTAAAAAATCTGCTGAGGCCAGTTTCGCCTCATATTTATGATTTTTGTGAATTTCAAATCAGCTATATGGTCCAAATCCATCCAATCCTCAAACCCTGCTGACATTCAGCCGTGAATCTGAATACTTATGCTGGAGTTCCATGTTGGAAATGTACAGTAGGCTTTTCATTCAGCATCTGTCTTTAGTAATTTATATACACATATTTCTAGTTAGGTTTAAGCTAAGTTCTTTTTTTTTTTAGTTAAGTTTTTTCCCCCCTATTGTCACTAAATTCCCTTCTTTTCACATATTACTAACTAGCTGCTGATCAGATACTTGAAAGTTATTGTCTTCTCTTTACAAATTTTACACCCTGGTATATATATCAAATCTATTTGTCATAGTCTCTCAGTTGATTCTTGGCCCTTTAAACTAAATTGCTTATCAAATTTTTTTTTTTACCAAGTTCTTTCCAATTTTTATGCTCCCCCCATCTAACTGCTTTGCCCAATAAATGTCTGCATAATGTTTTTTTTTTTTTTTTTTTTTTTTTTAATTAAGTTTAGCAGGGCATAGTGGTACACACTTGTAATCCCAGCAGAGGCAGGCAGATCTCTGAGCTTTGGCCAGCCTGGTCTACAAAGTGAGTCCAGGACAGCCAAGGCTACACAGAGAAACCCTGTCTTGAAAAACTAAATGCCAAAAAATCCCCAAATAAGTAAGTAAAATTGTTGAGAGTAGGGTCGGCTATGTGGGTGGGTGGATGGTGTCTGAGTTTGGGTGTATGTGCAAAGGCTCTGGTATAGAGAACAGAGGGCACCTTTTGGGAGTCAAGTTACTTCTCCTATGTGAAGGTCATCTGTGGGGTGAGGTTTTCAGGCTTGCATGGAAAGTACTTTTACCTAATGAGCCATCTTGCTGGTCTAACAAAATCATGTTAAATAACAATGAGAAGACTTTAAAACTTTTTATAGGAATGTTTCTATTATTTCCCCATTAAACATGATGACAACTTTTAGATTAGGACAGATATTAAGAATGTAAGTATTTCAAGACTGATACTAGCTTTGAACCCTGAATGCGGAATTTATGAAGTCAATCATAGTGGCAATGAAAGGGCACCATTCAGAATATTTTTGAGCAGGTGTGGCAGACCACACCGTTGATGCCAACACTTGGGAAGCAGAGACAAGTAGATGCCTGGGTCTGAGGTCAACCTGGTCTACAGGGTTCCAGGACAGCCATATACAGAGAAACCCTGTCTTGAAACATAAACACAAAAACACCACAAAATCTTCTTTTTGAGTCCAGTTTGGGGGCACACACCTCTAATATCAGCACTTCCATGGAAGAGGCAGATGGATACCTGTTCCTTCAAGGCCAGCCTGTTTTACACAGACAAGTTCCAGGTCAGGTAGGGCTACAGAGCAAGACACTGTCTCAAAAATCATACAACAAACAAAAGAGCCAAAAACAAAACAAAACAACCAAAACAAAATAAAACAAAACAAAAGACCTAAAAAGATCTTTCTGGTATTTGCAATGTGGAGAAAACTTACATTAGACCGTCTTCATTAAAGTCTGGCTGAAGAGTCTCCAGAGGAAACAAAGATCCAAAACCAACTCCCATGTTGAAAAACACAGCTGCTATGTCAGACAATGATGGGATCCAGGGCCAAACTGGTGAGTCACTGAAAGTATCTGGTTAACACAAGAAATTTTTTTAATTCAAACCACTCATGCACAAAGCCACACTGCACTATGAAGATTATTATCATCTTTCTTCCTTCCTTAGACAAGATTCTCACTATGCAGGCTATACTGGGATTATAAGCATATGCTACCATACTTGGCTTTTATCACAATGATTTCACAGAAATGACAGCTGGTAATGCCGTTAGCACTATAGTTAAGCTACAGATCATAGAAAGTATAACTTATTGGACTGTGTGAAGAAAATAATAGGAAGAAAATATCTGAGTGATCCATCAAAGAATCTAAGTCATAAGGTAGTAACATGTTTTGAAATGACTGGACACAACACTGGTTAAATTCCTAATTACCATTAACGCTAGAAGACTTTATCACCGTCAGTGCCCTCATTGTCTTTATCCCTCAAATAAGTGATTGGCTAAACCATAATGCTTCTTGTATTAAAAGGGCTTTCAGGGGCTGGAGAGATGGCTCAGAGGTTAAGAGCACTGGCTGTTCTTCCAAAGGTCCTGAGTTCAATTCCCAGCAACCATGTGGTGACTCAAATATCTATAATGAGATCTGGTGCCCTTTTCTGGCATACAAGCACACATGCAGGCAGAATACTGCATAAATAATAAATAAATGAAAAAAGGAGGGCCTTCAGAGGTGAGAAAGCAACACTCACACTTACAATAGCTTTAACCTGCCTTAATGTGCTATCTGCAAATATTAACACAATAATACTTTTCATCCATAAGCCAATTAAAATCAGTTAAAACTGAGCTCAGTGGTGTACACTTGTAATCTTAGCACTTAGAAGGGTGACACAGGTTACAAAAGCTAGCATGAAGATAGCCTGAGCTACATAAGACTGTGTCAAACAACAACTAAGCCTACACAACAGTAATTATATAATTGAGTGATTTAACACATCAGTAAGTTTTCAACTATTTCTACTGAACCCATGTGTTAAATTTTTAAAAAAGATTTATTTTACTTTATGTGTATGGGTATTTTGCCTGCATGCACAGATATGCGCTCCATATGGACGCCTGGTGCCATGGATCCCCTGGACCTAGAGTTACACACAATTGTGTGCTGCCATGTGGGTACTGGGAATTGACACCTGGATCCTCTGCAGGAATAGCCAGTGCTCTTAACTACTGAGCCATTTCCCCAGCCCTCATGTGTTAAGCATTAAAGGTTGTTATCTGTTAAGATCATATTTAATCCTCAGTACCAGCAAAGACACAACTCTAACATTAAGCACTATCAAAGAGATCATGTAATAAACAACAGCACATGCTACAAAACAAATTATGTACTCACCATTTTTAATCGTTATTTCCATCAATGTACTTAGAATCTGTACTGACACAATACAGTTTGTGTGAACCGACATCATCTGTCAAAAACAGATAAATAATAATGTATTAAAAGAGCACATGAGTCTGGTATTTGCTAGGTCTGTATGGTTTAGTGATATGGAGAACATTCTTCATCTTAGCTCCTTAGGAGGCTAAGACATGAAGATCGTGACTCCGATTCCAGCCCATGAAAAGCAATGATGCTCACTTCCAAAATGGTTTCATGTGCACTTCACTTTACACAATAATAAAAGCCCCTAAGGGGCGTCAGGCCTCTTTCCATTCTAACAGGCTAGCTGTAATTAGGTTAAGTAACACTAGAAACTAGAAAAAGCTACTTTTCTGTGTTCTAGCACCACTCAAAACTAAACATGAAGGGACACTTAAAGATGACTTAGTTATTACAGTGTTGGTAAACAAGTGTGAGAATCTGAGTTCAATCCTTAGTACTCATAAAAACCCCAAGGATGGCTGGGTGTGGCGGAGTGTGTTAGTGTACAACTTTAATCCCAGAACTTGGAAGACAGAGGCAGGCAGATGTCTTCAGAATTTGAAGCCAGTCTGGTGTACAGAGGGTTCTCGGCCACTTAGGGTTATGCAGTGAGACCTCATCTCAAAATACAAATATAATCAAGTATGTTGGTATGCATTTATTTTGTTTTTATGTTTTGTTATTTTTATGTGGATGAGTGTTTGGCCTGCATGTATGCTAGTAAGACCAAGAGGTAAGTTCCTGAGGCTTGCTTGATGTGGTGATTTAAATGAAAATGGCCCCCATAGGCCCACAGAGAGGGGCACTATTAGGAAGTGTGGCCTTGTTGGAGAAAGTGTAAACTGGTGGGTGGGCTTTGAGGCTTCAGAAGCTCAAGCTGGGCCCAGTGTCACTCTCTTCCTGCTGCTCCTTCTCTAGTGCGCTGCCAGGCTTCCCAAAGTTTAGCCTATGCAACAAGTCCAGGGCAAAATGAACACCATCGAGGTTTACCCCTGGCCTTTACATTTAAGCACACACACAGAAAAATCAAACACAAATTATAATTGAAGTTATAAATAAATAATAAACCCATATATTTTAAATTACAGTAGGGGACTTGAATCTGGGAGCATGAAGGGAGCAAGACTCAAACTAGCTATGTGTAAAATTGAACTTAACTCTTGATCCTCCTGTTTCCATCTCCGAAGCCTATGTTTATAGGTGGCACTACCATACCTAGCCACTCTCCAATTGTCTTTTTAGAGAACGAAGGGTTTGATCGTGGCTCATAGTTTTAGGGGATCTCAGTACAGTAAAGAATGCACAGAAGCAGTACAGTTGGCTGGCCACCCTGCACCTACACTCATGAGACAGTCTCATGTCTTCTGGCTCCAACTATCCCAATGAAAGCCCATAAGGTCTCTTGCTGAACCTGGAGCTCAGTTTTCCCTGGACTGAGCATCCCCTGCCTCCACCAGCTGGTTTCCTGGCCTCCAGCCCTCCCTGACACTGCCACAATTACAGGTGCACACCACTGCGCATGGCTGTTATGTGACTGCTGGGATCTAAACTCAGGTCCTCATGCTTGTGAAGGAAGCACTTTACCCACTATCTCCCCAGGCCCAGGGAAGGTACCATTAAAAAGATGTCAACAGAGACACAAGATGAGCAGTAACTAGATATTAGCTGCCTTCAAGAGCAGGACAGCTGGGTGGTGGTGCACACTTTAGGAGGCGGAGGCAGGTGGATCTCTGAGTTCAAGGCCAGCTGAGTTCCAGGACAGTCAGGACTACACAAAGAAACCTTGTCTCAACATGCTCCCCCAGCCCCTCCTACCCCCCTCCCCCAAAAGAAAGGACAATCTGTATTTTTTAGTTTTGTAAATATTTGGCTCTCCTCTAGCCTGCCTTTCAGCGACTCAGCAGCAGGAGCTTATGTCATTATCTGCCCATGCCAGGTGCTGTGCATTTCCACTATCGATATACAAAGTGATATATACTCTATATATATCAAGTGTCTGTCTGTCTCTCTCTCACGTCCTCACTCCAAGATGGCCCTGCCCTCCAAAAAACCTTTTGTGCCAGATCTGTTGGGTGGTGTGACTCTGTGACTCCAAACTGCCAAGGTACCTTTTGCCCCTTTATTCTAACTATCAGGCTATGCAAGTAGTCTTATCTAAAATCTATCACTACTTAGATGAAATCATTGCACTTTTATCTAGCCCAGTGGTTTCCAAACTTCCTAATGTTTTGACCCTTTAATAATAGTTCCTCAACCACCCCAATCATAAAATTACTTTTGTTGCTACTTCACAGCTATAATTTTGCTAATGTTATGAATTGTAAGGTAACGATCTGATAAGCAGATCTTAAGTGACCCCTGTGAAAGGGCTGTTTGACCCCCAAGGGGGGGGGGGGCACAACCGACTGGTTGAGAAAAAAGATCTAGTCAATCTTTTAATAAGATATAAGAATTTAGATGCAGAGACAAATAACCCAAGCTGTGAGCATGGTGGCTCAGAAAGATGCGGAGTCTGAAAGCAGCTTAGGCTATGTAGTTAAAACTCTTGTCTCAGAAAACCCACAAGGGCGTAACTTGAAGGCTCTGAACAGCTGCTAGATCTCAGGACCTGAGTTCAATCTCTGGAACCCATATGGCGGAAGGAGAGAACCAACTCCTAGAAAGTGGATAATAAATGTAAAACAACAAAAAGCCCAACTGTAAAAATATGTTCACAGAAGAATACACACTACTTCAAGTGCTAGCCTCTTCTACTCAGAACCATAGACTGTAGCCATAATAAATCTAAAACTAAAATATAAGGAATACCAAATTATGCCCAGCTAGGTACACACCTTAAACCAATTTAAAAAACACTCTACTTTTAAAATGTCTTTGCAATGTTTGCTATCAGGAGAAGGTGACATCCAAAGACATATGGGACAAGGTTTACACAATGTGTATCTTTGTTGAAGTGACTTTTAGGTTGAGCAATGTGTTGATTTCATAGAAATAAATGTATAGAGACATACATATACAAGACTGCCTATGAACAGACGCTGGTTTAAACAACTCGCAGCACAGAAAAAACAAAGGAATACTATAAGGCCATTAAAAAGAATCACAGTTATATACTGAGAGAAAATGCTCAATTGTTTGTTATTAGAATAAATAATATATATATAGCACATAGATATGTTCCATTTATGCTTACTTACATAGTATCTTTTTTCCTTTGCAGTATTGGGGATGGAACCTAGGATAGGAACTGTGTATGCTAGGAAAGTACTCTAAACTGCATCGCCAGGCCATATTCATTTTCAGTGAGTTACTCAGGTCAGCCTTGAATTTAGGACCCTTCTGCTTACCCTGTGTGTAGCTGAGATCACAGATCTATGCCATCAGATCTGGCTCATAGTCATTTTGTTTGTTTTGAGATAAGGTTTCAGAGAGTTAAGGTTGGCCGCAAATTTACTATGTATCTGAGGACAACCTTGAAATCCTGACCCTTTGTCTCCACTTTCAAGTCTGGGATTACAGACGAATGCCCCTATGCTCAATGTACATTATTCTGAGGATTGAACACAGATTACAGACATGTGGTACTATGTTCAATTAATTCAAGGCTGGGGATCGAATATAGGGATTCATGCTTGCCAGGCAAAAGTTACCTAGAAATTATTGACTATAGTTTTCAATAGCAGCTGAAAGTTAGGATTTGGAATTAGTTTAGCCTGGCTTTTATAACTTGAATGTTATACAACAAATTATTTCTTTCTGAAATTAAAACAAACAAACAAACAAACAAAATAACAAATAAAACTTAAAAGTAATAATAAACTCTTCCTGGTCTACTACATTTGGACATGCATGATAAAAAAACAAAACAAACAACCCAAGCTGGGTGTGTGGTGCATGCCTTTAACTCAGCACTCAGAAGCTCCAACCAGGCCCACTGTCAGTGTCATTCTCTTTCTGCTGCCTGCCAGTCTAGATGAAGAGCTCTCAGCTACCTCTCCAGCACCGTGTCTGCCTGCATGCTGCCATGCTCAACACCGTAAGGGACTAAACCTCTGAACTGTAAGCCTGCTCCCATTAAATGTTTTCCTTTATATGAGTGGCTGTGATCATGGTATCTTTTCACAGCAAAAGAGCACTAAGACAATATATAACTGAGTTTTATGATTTTATTTTTAAAGATTTAATTATTTATACAGTATTCTGTGTGCATGTATGACTGCATGACAAAAGAGGGCACCAGATTTCACTATTGATGGTTATGAGCCACCATGTGGTTGCTAGGAATTGAACTCAGGACCTTTGTTTGGAAGAACAGCCAGTGTTCTTAACCTCTGAGCCATCTCTCCAGCCCAGTAATTGAGTTTTCTGACACTAGTAATACCTAGGCCCTCTGCAAAAGCAGCCAGTGCTCTTGACTGTGAGTCATCCTTCCCAGGCCATCCAATAACAGGTTGGCAGATCTTTAAAGCCTGGTCTACATAGTGAGTTCTAGGCCACTAAGGGGTATATAAGAAGACTGTCTTTAAAGGAGATGGAATTTCTAGGGCAAGACTTTTGTGTATATGTACATGAAAGCATACTCATCCACAAAGGCACCTGATAAGGCAATGGTCAACACTGGCAGTCTTCCTATATCACTCTGACCTTATTTACTTATTGGGGATGGAGTAGAACACAGGTATGCCATGGCAAGCCAGTGAAGGTCAGAGGACAACCTCTGGAGTCTGCTGTTTCCTACCATATGGGTTCTAGAGACTGAATCCAGGTTGCCAGGCTTGAAGGCAAGCATCCTTACTCACTGAGCCATCTTGCATAGCCATTTCCTCTTACTTTTTGAGAAAGGGTTTCTTGTTGAACCTGGACCTTACTGATTCAGTTATAAGAGGTGGCCAGCGAGCCCACAGGACTTTCCTATATCCGCTCCAGCTCTGGAGTTGCAGGGATGTGTTAATACTCTCGGCTTACAGACAGGTCTTTAGGATCTGAACTTAGGTCCTGTGCTTGTGCAGGAAGCACTTTACACACGAGTCACCTCCCTTGCCTGTAGGGCAAGCTTTCACACAGTGTTTTATACTGTTTACTCCTGTTATTTTCTATACATCCAGAATTTAATTAAAAGAGAACATTCCAGGAATCTGAGAAAGACTTGACATGAGCCAGGTGTTGCTGCAAACCTATCCTAGCACCTGGGAGGCAGAGGCAGGCAGATCTATGAGTCTGAGGCCAGCCTTGTCTACAGAGTTCTAGGATGGCCAGAGAACAAAACAAACACATAAAACAAAAATCTTGCCATGAATTCTGTTCTTGGAAGGACAGCAATTCTTCTTAACTGGACATTATTGTAAACAGTGAACCCAATGCAGCACTGAAAGCCCTCTATGGCTTCCAACTCTGCCAAAATATACTGTATTAAACCCTAATTACTGTATTCTTGATATGTCAAGAGCAATGAACACCTATATTCATGTCCAGCATATCTAGAGGAACATCAAAGTAGTATATAAAATAAACAAACATATAAAATAAATAAACATCAAAGTAGTATATAAAATAAACAAAAAAGAAGATATATAAATGAATTTAAGTATTAAATATGAATAGGGAAGAGAAACACTCATTTGAGTCTGCATAAAAAAAAATAAATACATGGGGGCTGCCGACATGGCTGAGAGGTTCAGAATAAGAGCCTGTACTGCTCTAGTAGAGAAATGAAATTCGATTCCTAGCATTCATATCTGATGACTCAGAGTCACCTGTCAGGACAGCTCCAAGGGTTCGGACACTTCTGGCCTCCAAAGGTACCTGCACTCAAATGTAGTAACCACGTAGACACATATATGAATAAGGACTATCAGGACGGAAATACACCTATAACTTGAGAAAGAGCACTGGCTCTTCCTGCCTCATTTTATTCCCCCAGAAATCATGGGTTTAATACAGTAGAATATTTTTCTGCTTAAAGTGAAAAAAAATAAAAAGGGACAAATTTCATTTATTAATTTATTTAGTGTGGATGGGGTGTGTACATGGTCTAAGTAGAGGCCAGAGTACGTTCTTGAGGTGGTTCTTTTCTTCTACCATATGAGGCCTGGGAATTGGATTCAGGCTGTCAGGTGTGGTGGCAAGTATCTTCACCTTGAGCCAACCTGCTAGAACCTAGGAGTTTATTGAGTAGAAAATATAGTAGGTTCCCACTATAAGCCCAAACACTTCTCTTACCCGAAACAGCCACTTTAACACAGGTACAGGACACTGGACGTAGTGGTATGCAGAGGTAAGAAAGCCTTGTGTTGTCAAAAAAATCTGATCTGTTTTTCCTGATCTGAAAACAGAAAATCAATGATTGTTATCCACGACAAATCACTTCTAGTCAAACACATTTGAAATAATCAGAAACAAGAAAGCAAATCTCAGTCAATAGAGGTAGATTCCACACTGACATGGAACAGGTTTGTACAGTTTATATGTAAAAGTTCACCTGATGGCCCAGCTCACTCCCTTTGTGGGCTCTACCCACCTCTGTGGACAAAGGTCCATTTGTAGTAGTACTCAAAGAATCTACCAAGTGTGAGCACATATGCTTCTGTCAGTTTAGGGATGAACTTCCTAAAACTCAGTACCAGAATCCATTTGGTTTTTACAGACCCAAAATGTCACACACTGATAACAGTTATCCTAGTCTAGGCATTGGGCGTAATGTAAGAGCTGTCCACCTCAGCATCTGTTGTCGTTCTCAATGCTACCTCAATTCTGAGATTTAGCTGGAAAGTGACTTGCTTAGTGTGCATTGCTGACTGAAGTTCATCCAATCAGCCACAAGCAGAACACAAACACAGGCTCTATGTGCTTTCTAGGACTTAGAACAGGGAGCTAGCCCTGTACCACAGCGAAGCAGTAAGATACTACTAGTGGAAAAACAAAACCAAACCAAACCAAACCAAACCAAACCAAACCAAAAAACAAACACGGATTTTTGCACCTTCCTTTTGTAGACAGAGCCATTGTTGGACTAGCTGGACCACAGCCTATAAGCCATCCTACTAAATCCTCTTTCTATATACATATAGATTTCTACATACAGATAGATTTCTATATACAGACAGATTCACTCTATACGTTCGTTCTTTTAGACCAGTGGTTCATCAATTTCCTAAAACCATGACCCTTTAATATAGCTACTCATGTTGTGGAGACCCCAACCATAAAATTATTTTCATAGCTACTTTATAACTGTAATTTTGCTATTTTTGTGTGCACCACTTAAGTGTCTGGTGTCCACAAAGGTCAGAAGAGAGTCAAGATTTCCTGGAAATGGAGTTACAGCCACTATGTAGGTGCTGAAAATTGGATCTGGGTCCTTTGCAAGAGCACTTAAGAGGTTCTTTACTAGTGAGCCGTTTCTCCAGCTCTTAGAACAACTTTTTATACAGAAAAAATTCAAATGTTTATGATTTACTTACTTGAGAATAAGTTTTTCCACAGCACTTTCTCCGATAAAACCAGAGTCTCTTAAGTCTAAGGTATACTGATTGAAAATTTTTCCAGAATTGAGGAAATTAAATATTTCTTCACCTGGATGATGATCAGGAATAGCATCAATTGTGACTGAAAATTTTTTTAGAAATTCCCTGAAATACAAAGATCATTGAATATCAAAGAGTTAGGATATAAATAATTTTGTATTTAAAAGATCAAGGCACTTTAGCAAACACTGAGGGTATGTGCATGAGTTTTCTGAGACAGGGTTTCTCTGTATAGTCCTGCCTGGTCTGGGATTACAGGCACTACCACCTATCAGAGAGTCAGTATTAATCTCAGACTGGGATACTGACTTAATAATGTTTTAGCCAGGCATGGTGGCACATGACTTTAATCCTAGCACTCCAGAGGTAGAGGCGGGTAGATATCTGTGAATTCCAGGACAACCAATGCTGTTACACAGAGAAATCTTGTCTCGAAGAAAAAGTGGGGAGGGTGTTTTGAAGTCCTCCTTAGTGCTTGAAGTAGAAACTGAGTTTCTCAATGTGAAGACTCATAACATAACTTGGTTTGAATGTTTGCCTTTCAACAAAGGGCAAGTGTATCTCAGTCACTGAGCAGCCAGCTATCAACAGCCCAGCTGTTTTGTAAAAATTAAATTAAAAAAAATGGTAAAACAGGGCCTGGAGAGATGGCTCAGAGGTTTCTTGATTTTCTTAAAAAAAAATATTTACTCATCTATCTATCTATCTATCTATCTATCTATCTATCTATCTATCTATCTATCTATCATTTATTTATTATGCATACAATGTTCTGTCTGCACATACACCCATGTGCCAGAAGAGGGCACCAGATCTAGATAGTTGTGAGTCACCATGTGGTTGCTGGGAACTGAACTCAGAACCTCTGGGAGAGCAGCCAGTGCTCTTGACCTCTGAGACATCATGGGCTAGAGAGATGGCTCAGAGGTTAAGAGCACTGGCTGCTCTCCCAGGGGTCCTGAGTTCAATTCCCAGCAACTACATGGTGGCTCACAATCATCTATAATGGGATCTGGTACCCTCTTCTTGCCTGCAGGCAGAATACTGTATATAATTAATAAAGAAATAAACCTAAAAAAAAAAAAAAAAAAAAAAGTAAAACAGTACTAGAAGATCATACATAGTGTGAAAAGATGATACCTGTGTTCTTCTAAGAGGCCATCCTCATCATCTGTACTGTCCTGGTCGCCAAATCTTATAGGAGATTTAATGCCACGGCCCTGTCTTATGTCTTCCTGTAGCTGTTTCTGCAATTCATCTAGCCTGAAATTGAAAGAATAAATGATTCACATTTACTTATTTTTGAGACAGGTCTATATAGTTCTGGGACTCTAAACAGACCAGCCTGGCACAAATGCAACAGAGATTCAGCAGCCTCTGCCTTCCAAGTGCTGGGAGTAAAGGCGTGCACACCAGGCTAGGCTTACGATTTATTTGAAAAACAGACAATTTTAGCTGTTATCTAAAAGCTGCAACAAGTACACTTTCCAAGTACTGTTATATAACAAATTCTGTTATGATATAGGGTAAATCATATTTCTGAAATGCATTATGCTATTTTTTTTAATTTTAATTTTTGTGTATGTGTTTTACCTACATATATATATGTGCCCACTGCCCATAGAGGCCAGAAGAGTGTTGGAGTTCCTGGCACTGGGGTCACAAATGATTGCGAGCCATCATGTATGTACTGGGAATCAAACATGGGTCCTCTGGAAGAGCAACCAGTGCTCTTAACCACTGAGCCATCTCTCCAGTCCTTTAAATATTTTTTTACAGCTGGAAATTTAAGAATGATCTATCTAAACCAGAGAATAGAAAAATAAAAATGGTAGTGATCAAATTTTATTATCTTTTCTAATCTTTAATACCCATTGACATTTTGTAGATCAATACCCTGACAAGTTAATTAGATTTCTGCTTTCATCATGGTCATATGATTATTATCATCACCACACCTAACACTCTGAGCACTTACTATGGCACACCCAAACACCTTACTTTCACTACAAACAATGAAGATATTATTCTAAGTATAACACTCCAGATCTAATAAGGAAACTAATAAATGATCTCACATGAAATATCTAGCGCAGCCAACGTCATAGGAACAGCAAGAATGCTGAAGCAGGGAGGAAAAGCAGAATGGGAATAAGCATGGCGTTTCAGTTTGAGAAGATAAAGCACATTCTGGAGCTGCGGTGGTGGTGATAGTTACACTGATGCTAGTGTAATGACCTAACCTACTCAAAATAAAATGTAGGACTGTAGTGAGGGCTCAGCAAGCAAAGCACTCGCTGCACAAGAATCAGAACCTGAGTTTGAATTTTCAGAATGTGCACACCTTTAATCCCAAAACCCAGTAAGAAGAGGCAGGTGGATTTCTGTAAGTTTGAGGCCAGCCAGGACTACACAGGCCCTATTTCCAAAAAAAAAAAAAAAGGGCACTGGATACATAGCACAAGTGTCTGCAATCCCAGTGCTCACACAGGGAAATGGGAGGCAGGGTCAGGAGACCCCCTGGTAGAGCTCATGGGTCAGCTAGCCTGGCATACACAGCAGTGAGGAGCCTGCCTCAAACATGGTAGAAGCTAAGAATTGATGCCCAAGGCTGTTCCCAGATCTTCACATGCATGCTGCAGCAAACACACACTAGCATTCTCATGCATGAACTACGCACACACACACAATAATAAAGATAGATTCTACCCATGCTTTTCATCAAGGGTATCAGTTAAGATATTGTTATAACAAGCAAAAAGGAGTTTGTTTATATTAACAGTGTAATTTATAGTATTTTGTGAAAACCTGTACCTCTTAATGTCTCAAGAACAAGAGAACACATCTTATTTTTAAAACAGTTGACAAGAGAACAGTAATAATGGCACTCCTACAAAATGTATGTTAATTTCTAGTTCCCTTGGAATTTTTGGTGCTGGGGATTGAAGTCAGGGCTTGACAATCAATTTATCACTGAGCTACATCCCCAGCCCCATATAAACTAACTTACCATTCTAAGTAAAATTAAAAGTTAAACCACATAAGCAAAGCAGTCTCTTAAATTTAACAAATTATAGTTTTAACCAACCTTTGTGTGTCCTCCATCTCCTTTACAAGTCGCTCTAAGGTATTTGTGTAAGTTCCACTGTGCGCATATTCCTAAAACAAAAAGAAAGTTTAAAAAATACTTCATAACTTCTCTTAGTAGAAGACATGGGATACTTTAAGTTATTTAGAATACTAATGACTATTTCCCGTCAGTAACCTCGGTCTGGATAACACCCTTCTTAAAGGAAAATTCCATCATCATGCTTTAAATCTAATAGTCTATACTGCAGGCAAGTTGAGTTCAGCATCCATTAGGAGGAGAGGCACTGCCTGTAAAAACCCTGCTAGCTTCAGTCTGAACACAAACACCCAAGGGCTCTGTGGTGACCCTATCTCTGCTTTTGCATTCTATTTTAGTGAAGTCAAACTACTACTAATTTTTAGGTTTTACCGTGGAATATTAAACCTTCCCCACCAAACTTTACAGAAATCTTAAAATTAATACAGTCTACTCCCAAGATAGAATGAAGCACTTTATAAATAAAATTGCACACCACAATTAACAACATTTCTACACTCTACCTTCATTTACAGCAGTGGTCTCCAAAGCAGGGGGTGTGCAAGGTGATCCATTGGGGTGCAGGAAGAAAATAATAGAACTTCTATTTATATGGAACGTCTATAGAAACTCCAGTAGAACTTAATCTATAGTAACTTCTATGTAACTGCCACAGGAAAATAACTTAACTTTTTCTTTTTCCTTCTAAATTCTGTTTTTGTATATACTTTATTTCAAAAGAACACAGTATTAAAGTGGTACATGTATAGAATTTATAAGTTACATATATATTGGGGTACATGCTTAAAGTTTCCTTTTAATAAAAAAGTACATGTGATCAAAAAAGTTTGGAGACCACTGATTAACAATAGTAAAATGTAAGATATGGGGAACTCATTTACCAAATGAGAATTCATACCCATGTCAGTCTAATGATGAGCTGTATTAAGTTAACAATTTATCTTAATTAATCCATCTTTTCCCAACAAGTGAAAGCAAATTATCACAGAACTACTTACCATATAGTCTGATGATTGGGATCTAAGCCCCTTGGAAAAGGCAGGAGGCTGTCTTGAAGCTGCAGAAGTCTGATTGAAGTTCAAAGCCATTATTTCTTCCAGTGATTTCAATGTTTCCTCTTCCTCATCACTCTCTAGGTTGTAACCTAAACTTTCTTCATCACTATCAAAATCACCCCTGAATTTCCTTTTCAGTGCACTGCTACCTGCATTGAAATTTCCTGAACTCTCTTTCTCTGAAGGTGCTGCAGGGCTTGGGACGCGTGGCACAATTTCCAAGGCAGCTGGGGGAGACACTGTAGGAGGGTCGTAATCTGAATGCAAAGATCCCCCAGAACTTTTCCCTGAAGATTCACTAGAAACAGCCTTAACAGTCTTTGTTTTGTGTTCCTTGTGTTTGGAGGCTTCTGTAGAATGCCCAGAACGTTCTTTAGAGGAGGAACGCTCTTTCTCTCTTTTAGGAACTGGAAGAGTGCAGTTTTTAGCATTCAACGGTACTTGAGAGGAAACAGCACTTGGAACATGGGAGAGTAAAGGTAGTTTTGTCTCCTTTGACGTCACAGAGCCAGCTGTTTTACTTTTCTGAAGGTTGCTGGCTCTTTTAATTGTAGATTTTTCCTGAGGTAAAGGTAAGTGGAGTTTCTGTATTTTAGTCTCTTTGGTACTTGCTGCGTGGACTTGGTCACTATTCCTGGAAGAATGGTGGCCAGAATTCGAAGGTGCCAAGCCTGCAGAAGAGCGATCTGTGTCATCATCCGGTTCCTTGGCTATATCTTCCAAGCGCAGAACACCTCCAGGTGTCTTCAGTGCAATGTGTCTTATAAACTTTTCTCTCTGATGTGATGATGTGTCTGGACGCTTCTCTAGGAAGGGCTCTTTTACTTTGGAAATGATAGGTTCTTTTGTGCTTTTCAGGTCTGAGTCCACAGAGTTCCTTTTTCTTTTGTCGGAGAATTTATTCTGCTTAGAGCCTAAAATTAATTTTTGTCACATCAGTGAAAAGTATACTGTTCTGTCTGGGTCAAGCTTATTCACAGAACACTGATGAAATGTTTTAATTCTAAGGTGTCCAAGAAATTTAGAGCTAATGACATATGCTCATTTTCACTGTTAGTCTACTAGAAGGTTACTCTCTTACCAAAGGAATCATTTCCCAAAAATAAGACACTACACACTGGCACCAATGAAGAGATCCTAGAGCACTTCTGTTCAAAGTAGATATTCTTTTCAAGCCCAAGACCATCTGGCTCCAGAAATGAAATAGTTCTACATACAAAGGTAAGGATTGTAGATTATAAGCAAATATAGGACTAAAAAGACAGATAACTTATCTAAAAATAAATTCACTGGGCCAGGTGGTGGTGGCACACATCTTTAATCCCAGCACTTATCAGAGAAGCAAGGGGATCTTTTTGAGTTCAAAGAGAGCCTGGTCTACACGCAGTCCCAGGACAGCCAAAGCTACACAGAGAGACCCTATCTCAAAATAGATAAGATAGATACATAGATGAACAGAAAGAAAAATAAATAAATTCTACCTTCCACAGTGGTGCACACCTGTAATCTCAGCGGTCAGGAGTCTGAGGCAGGAGGATCAAGTATACAAAGGCCAGCTTGGGCTGGAAGGGAGGCTAGGGAGGTTGTATAATCTAGTCTTAAAAAAACCCAAACAAACAAATAAAAATAAAACAAAACAAAAAAAAAAAACCCAAACCAATAAGTATTTCCATCTAGTGATTACTACTAATTCTTTATGTCTCTCTAGTATTCAGCTGTTATGGGTTTAATTTTGTCTTCACAAATACGATCAATTGCTGACCTTCAGCCCTACAGGATGAGAACTAGTAACAGACTTTGACAGACATACCCGAATTAAAACAAGGCCAATGCAAATGATGAGATTTCTTATAAGAATAGGAAATTCTGGGGCTGGAGAGATGGCTCAGAGGTAAAAGCACTGGCTGCTCTTACAGAGGACCAGGGTTCATTTCCCAGCACCCACATAGCAGCTCACAACTGTCTGTAACTCAAATTCCAGGGGGTCCAACACACTCACACAGACACATGTAGTCAAAACACCAATGCATATAAAATAAATATAAATTTAAAAAAATTAGAGAATTTAGACTCAAAGACAGGTACACCAGACAAGACACAACAAAGAAACACAAGATATCACGTGACTGAGTGGTTCAGTTACAGGCTAAGGAATGTTGAAGACTGCAAACAAACAGCTGAAACTATCAGATGTGAAAAAGCATTTTTAGAGTTACAGGGAGAGGCTTACCAAACCACTCTTTTTAAACTTCAACTCTCTACAACTATGATAATATGTGTTTTAAGCTACTCTAGCTGGGATACTTTGTTAACGATACCTGTATTCATTAACAGCTGAAACCAGAAACACTTTAATAACTGTATATTTGCCAGGCAGTGGAAGCACATGCCTTTAATCACAGTACTTGGGAGGTAGAGGCAGGCAGATCACTGGGTTCATGCAAGCCTGGTCTACAGAGCACGTTCCAGGACAGCAGGGCTACACAGAGAAACCTTGTCTTGACACTCCCCACTCTCCAAAAAGACTAACAACAAAATCTATGTAATTTTGAGTTTAGGATCCTGTGTGTTTATATTGGTGTTTGAGTGGAGGCCAGAGGTTGCTGTTGGGTGTCATCCTTGATCACCCTCCACTTTATTTTCTGAAGCAAGGGATCTAGCTGAACCTGGATCTTACCAATTCATCTAGTCTAGCCAGCCTACATGCCCTGGGATCCTGTCTCTGCCTTTAGAGCACCTGGGCCACTGGTGGGATGCTACACTTGACTCGCACTTACACAGGTGCTGGGATCTCAACTTTATGCTTGCACAGAAAGTACTTTTACCACAGCCTCAGTTAGTCAGTCTTTAAAATTTATATTGTACCAAAAACCATTTCATTGAGCCTGTTCTGACACACAACTTTAATCCCAGCACTTGGGAGACAGAGGCAGGCAAACCTCTAAGTTCCAGGCCAGACTAATCTACATAGTGAGTGCCAGGACAAGCAGAGCTACAAAGAGATCCTGCCTTAAAGAACATTAACTCATTAATCATTCATCTTAAATTCATAAGGTTTGGAGGCATATAGTACTGGATACCTGTCTAGCATATGCTTAAGGCTCTGGAACACAAAGAAAACCATGAACATACACAAATTGTATTCTCAAAACCAAATATGTCTAAATCAAATTTTTCTGTGTATCGACAGATGTCTTTCCAGTTTACAGTTTCTTTGTCTTGGGACTTGGGGGTGAGGTAGATTCTCATGTAGTCAAGGCTGGTCTGGAATTCATGTATTTGAGGATGACCTTGCACTCCTGATCTTCATGCCTCTACCTCCCAAGTGCTCAGATAGTGCAGGAGGAAGAGTCAGATATATCTCCATGAGTTTGAGGCCAGTGTGGTCTACATAGATTAGTTCCCAGGCTAGCCATGGCTACATAGTGAAACCCCGTCTCAAAAGACAATAAATAAAAAAGCTCAAAAAATAAATAATCTTAAGAGTTACCTTTATGAACACATAATCTGGAAAATATAATTTTAAAAATGAAAGCTGCCCAAATGTAGTGCCCCCCAAGTCTGAAGTTTCCCTTTTCTAAACTTTCTAGGAAGCAGAGGAGCTGCAGAATTTTCTAGTTCTTTTTGTAATTCCTAAACAGACTATAGGCTAGATATTTATTTCACCATACTTCATTAGAGGTGAGCACTTGACATGTTCGGCTTTTGCACACAGACACTAGAGATCTTAATTGTGATCCTTGCACCAACAGGCGCTTCATCAATTAAGTCATCTCTGTAGCCCCTTGTTTTTGTTTTTGTTTTTTTTCTGAGACAGGGCCTTGCTATGCAGCCTAAATTACAGGCATGTACTACCATGTATAGCTGCATTTTTAATGCCACAGAGATGACATAGGAACACAGTAAGTTTTCAATAAATGTTACCTATTTCTGTGTTTACATCTTCCTGAATGTATGAAGAATCTGTCAAGTTCGTTTTTCAAAGTTTAAAGTTATGGCAGAAAAAGCTGGCATGCTTGATGAGTAAAATTATTTCTAGATGCCTTTCATTTTCTCAGAAATAAAATTCTGCAGTGTTAAATTGTAATGCATTAATTCTGGGTCCCTATTTTAACTCTTTTTACACACGGTTGTCATCTCAAGTTGCTTCAGATCTTTCTGTGGGCAAGAGAGATTTAACATGAGTGATGCTTCCTACACATACTACAATAAACCAGGCTCTACCAGGCTCATTTTTAGTGTTTAAAGACTCTGTCTTTAAAAACAAACAAACAAAACACCAAATCAACAAAAAGAGTTAATAGCTATTTGTGATATATCTTCTCAATGAACAGACATTTTAGTATTCATATCTTGCAGATGTCCTTGAGATGTAATATTAGAAATATTAGATGTAATATTTGTATTTGGACTATTTGGATCTTGTTTTAGCTTCACACAAAGCATCCTTAACAGTTCACCAAGAATACAAGATTATGCTGCTGCTCATTTGTTCTGGGACAACATTCCACTATAGCCCAAACCAGCTCCAAAGAGGCAATCCCCTTCCTTCCCTCAGCCTCCTGAGTGCTAGGATCACAGATGTGTGCCATTATTCTATTTCTTGATAGAGACAAGGATTCAGAAGTGAAACACTCAATACCAATATAAAAAATAGACTATTAAAACACATTATTAGAATCTCCTGAAGAAAGCAGAGAGAAATCAGGATAACAGATTACACAAAATAAATCCAAGTATTTATTTTTAAATAATTTACTTAATTTTTATTTTATGTGCATTAGTGTGAAGGTGTCAGATCCCTTGGAATTGGTATTACAGACAGTTGAAAGCTGCCATGTGGGTGCTGGGAACTGAACCTGGGTCCTTTAGGAAGAACAGACAGCGCTCTTAACCACTAAACCATTTATCCAGCCCCAAATCAAGCATTTTTTGAGGCCCAGTATTACTCTACGTAGTTCAGGCTGACTTTAATCTCTAGATCTTCTTGTCTCAGCCTCCTAAATACATGAGAGTACAGATTTCTGCCACTATACCTAACTCTGAATATTACTCTTTTGGGATTATTTTTTGGTTTTTCGAGACAGGGTATCTCTGTGTAATCTTGGCTGTCCTGGACTTACTCTGTAGACCAGGGTGGCCTTGAAATCACAGAGCTCTGCCTGCCTCTGTCTCCCAAGTGCTGGGATTAAAGATGTGTACTACCATGCCTGGTAATTTTATCAAACTCTTAACTACCTGCGACATTCAATTCTAGGAAGAGAACTGAATATTTGAACAAATTTATTTTTAAAAAGAGGCACGAGGAATATGCAAACTCACTTAGATATTGTATGTTTAAGTCTGATGCTACCTACCTGAAAGTTCCCATGAGTCTGAAGATGACCTTTTTCTTGAGAGATGTCCATTTTCCTAAGGAAAGGAGACGAAAATTAGGAATTTGGGGAGGTAAAGAATATGAACTTACATTTGAATAGACTTCTAGACCAATAAAGCAAGCACTTATATTCAGAGGCAGCTTTAAAAACAACAAAAACCTTTAAAAATCTTAAAGTGAAGGGTATGGGCTGGAGATGTAACTCCACGCAAGGCTCAAATGCAATACCCAGCACTAGGAAAACATACACAGGCATACACAAGAAGGCCACGTGTATCATAAAATACGTTAAAAAAAAAAACACACACACACACACACAAAAGAAGTCCATGTTTCATAAGCCAGCAGTAATTTATATTCTAAACTCAAAAATTAACACAATAGTATACTATTAGTCAGTCTCTGAACCAATATTACATCTATTGATCATCAGCAATCTTAGAAATAAAGGCACAATCTTAGTGCAAATAGGCCTCTGCATTTACAAATACTTTCTTTTTATTCATTCTTAGAATGTTATAGTTTATTTTTGGTTAATCTGGTTTGAAGTTTTCTTAGTAGTTTAATCAACACAGCACTTGTCTGAAGCGCTGGAGACTCTGCTCAGAGCTTCTCGCCTGCTGGGCAAGCACTCCACCATTCCCAGCTCTGCACTGTTTTGTTTTGTTTTTTGTTGTTGTTTTTGAGACAGGTTAGCAGGTTAGGCTGTGTAGGCCAGTATAGTTTCTAGCTCATAATTCTTTTGCCTCAGCCACTCACATGCTGGGATTACAAGCATGTACTTTTCCACATCTGACTTTATTTGCTCTGTATGTAAGTACAATTTGAAATTAACTTGATTTTCTAGGGAAGACGAAAAGCTTTCATGCTAATCTGATTCTGTATTCTCAAAAGAAAAGTATGACTAAAAAAACATGTAGTTTTCTAAGGTATCAGATATGTTTCTAAGAGCTACACCCACTCAATTATTTAAGATGTACAGATGTGGCTGGAGAAACAGTTCATTGGTTAAGAGTTCCTTATCAATGTTCTCATAGGACTTGAGTTTGGTTCTTAGTGCCCACATGACACAGTTCACACCCACCCGTAACCCTAACTCCAGGGGATCTGGTGACTTCTCCACATATAGGCTCAAATAAAATAAATAAATCAAAGATATATATATATATAACCTGAAACTTTTGAACTTTTAGAGTGCATCAGTTATCTGAAGGCCTTATAAGAAGACTGGTCACTGGGTTCTAACTCCACTGCTTTTTACTGAACCAGAGACTGCAATTCTGAAAAATTCTCAAGTGTTGCTGTTACTGCTGCAAAGGTATTTTGAGAACCACTGCCTTAAGTTGCTTACCGTTTTTATATCTCATTCCTTAAGGCAAATATTAACTTAAAAATTACTATACTTGCCTAAAATAATGTTTATTTTTTCATTAGAAAAGATCTTTGGGGCTGGAGAGATAGCTCAGAGGTTAAGAACACTGCTTACTCTTCCCAGGTTCCTGAGTTCAATCCCCAGCTACTACATGGTGGCTCACAACCATCTATAATGAGATCTGGTGCCCTCTTCTGGCGTGCAGGTGTACATTCAGGCAGAACATTGTATAAATAACAAATCTTTACTGGTCTGAAAAAATCAGGGTAAAGAAATTTACTGAATTCAATGGAGGTAGTTAAAAAAACTAATGAGATGAGTGTCCCCACACATTGTGCACCTCTATCTCCTGAATGCTATGGATTAGTAACTGTAAATTAGATCTAAACACTGCAGAGTAGTAGCAAAGCTAACTCAGTAATTATTGTACATACCAGATTTGAAAGATTACTCTTCCCAGGTACAGCGTCATTATGTTTACTGTGTTCATGCCTTGGCTTACATTTTTTTCCTACACTAGAGGATTTTAAGGAAAGATTCCTTGTTTCTGAGAAAGAATTTTCCGAGTTGATTCTCTGCTCCATTTGTTCCTTTCTCAACTTCTTCTGTTCTCGTTCTCGGCAGTAAGAAGCTAATGACAACTGGAACCTAGCCCCCAGGGGGCTTTCTCCTGGGTGGTGCCTGGACAGGCTGCTTCTGCTACTAACACTTCTGGAGCTGTTCTTAAAGTCGTCACCTTGTGTCGCCGAGGCCTGCTTTCTGGAGTCTTTGCTGGGCTTGCCTCCATCTCTGTCATTCTTCTCCCTGTTACTTTCATGAACGAACAGTGACTTCCTTCTCTCTGGGGACCGGTGCTTTTTCTTCCGTGCCTTCATCTCTTTGGGCAACCGATAAGAGGAAGGAGCATAGATACCTGCTCCTTTGGGTAAATATTTGGTGCCTAGTGACATACATGGCCGACGTGACTCATGGACACCACGATCTTTGTGGTGCTCTTTACTACCTTTCATAAAAGCTTCTAAGATAGGACTTCCTTCTGATGACATCCTTTTGGGTTTAGGTTTTTTTGGTGAAGACAATTTCCTTTCAAATTGCTCTGTCTCAGTGATGGATAATCCATTTCCTCCAAATTTGATGTTTGATTTTTGTGGAGAATCCAACATATGTTTGTCTAAAATAGCCACAATCAAAACACATACAAATCACACATTAACTATCAACTTTTAACTGTACTGAAGCTACTACAAAATTCAAGCCAATTAAGATTTGGGTTATGAAAAACATTTTTGAGGGAAGAGAGAGTAATTAAGAGATAGATTTATGAGCTGGAGAGATGGCTCAGCAGTTAAGAGCACTGTCTGTTCTTCCAGAGGCCCTTAGTTCAATTCCCAGCAACCACATGGTAGCTCACAGCCATCTATACTGGGATCTAATGCTCTCTCCTGGCATGCAGGTGTACATGCAGATAGAGCACTCATATACATACAATAAAATCTTTAAAAGAAAAAAAAAAGGTTTACCTTTTATGAAGTTTACTTTCACGAATGCCTTCTGCACATCATCTAACCTCCCTAAGGCTCTATTTGTGAGCTATTGTACTAAAGAATAAAAATATATAAATACTACAACCTGGAATATTTTTTTAATGTTAAGAATATAGAACAGATGGCTTAATGTTTACCACATTTTCATTATAACAGCACATTTTTCAATTCTGAACAGTAAAATCAAAGTTTAGAGGCTCTCTTAACCTCGAAAACAACTCATCGAAAATACATTGAAAATGTGCATACCTTGTTTTGAAGCTGGCTTGAAGAAATCTATAATTGATTGTTTCCTGAAAATAAAAGCACAACTAATATGGCATCACAAAACCAAATTTTAAAACCTCAATATTTCAGATTAAGTGTGAATGTTAGATAATATAATAAGGGCTAGATTTCACTGTCTGATTTAACTAATCCAGTTCTGACAATGGCAATCATCCTGAGGCTCATGAAATCTAGAGAACTAAATGGCAAAACTGAAGTGTGAATCCAAGGCACTGGTAAGTGCTGTTTAGTTGGGAGTGCTTATGGCTCAGATAGATCTTGGAGAGAAACACCTGATTCTATTTGTTGTTATTGCCAGGGACTGGCCAAAAAAATAAAAATAAAAATAAATAAATAAATCAATCAAACAGAAACTTGACAAATAGAGATCATAAACTTTAACAGGCTCTTGCAACTGAAATAGAATAGCAGATTCTAATAGCAGAATGAACAATTAGGTTGATCTGAGAGGTAGCTGAAAAGGAATGTGCAAGGCAAAACCAGCAAGGATTATTTATGACTCTTATACTAATCTCTTTGTTTTTTATAAGATGTAAACTAAGTAACAGCAAAATCTAGAATTCGCCACAACTTGTGTTTCAAATGCTTTTTTTTTAATCTAAGATTCCTTAAGAGGATCCAAGAGCAATGACACACACGTTTAACCCCAGCACTAAGGAGAAAGAGGCAGGTGTGTTGAGACCAGACTGGCCTACGGAGTGAATTCAGGGCCAGTCTGGGCTACACAATGAGATCTTGTCTTGATCACACACACATAGCAAAACAAACACAAACCCTATAAAAACAAAAGTTCACGGGGCTGAAGAGATGGCTCAATGGTTAAAGAGTATTAGCTGTTCATGCAAAGAAGCCAGTGTTGCCAGCACCCACACGGCCAGTCACAAGATCTGACCCCCGTTCCAGGGTATGTGATGCCCTCTTCTGGTCTCCTCAGGCACTGCTCACATACATGGTGCCGACATACATGCAGTCATATACATAAAACACAAATAAATTATTTTTTGAAAAAAAAAAAAAAAACTCAGGATATTTTTTATAAAAGCAACACATTACCTAAGTAAAATGGAAAAAAAGGGGATATGATAGTTAACAAAAACACAAAACAAAGCCCAACCAAACAGCATTAATAATTTTTATGGGTTACTGTGCCCTAACATGGGCACACTACAATTATTACCAGAACCTATACTCTGATTTGTTCATGTATGTTGAATTGTTAGCTATGAAAGGAGCAATGCTACATATAGAAAAAAAAATGAGTAAATAAAATATTTTTTTTTTTCCTGAAATGCATCCATTTTGCTGAAAGACAGTAAGCAGTAGGCTACCGGCACCTCTGAACACTTCTCCATTGATGCTGGAGGACTCAGTGAGAAGCCTGAGCAATCCAAATCCAAGGCTGATCTGCTTTTCTATCCTGTACATTGTACCAGTCACATTAGGAGAACAATGTACATCTTTACCAGTTTACCTAGATTCCACCTATGTTGAGAAAACCTAAATGGTTATGAGAAATATGAATGACAGGTTATGGGGAATACATGAATTTGTTTGCAGAAAGTAAGTTACATTAGGTAATTTAACTCCACCACTGAGTTAAGGAAGAAACGCTAGAATGTGCAAAGGGAACACAAAAGAACCCAGAAGCAGCAAATTCAAAACAAAATATACTAATATCTTCTTACTAGATATAACACCTTTTCCCTTCCCTAAAGTATTAACCCTAACACTCCTCTTTAATACATCAGAGAGAGAAAAAAAATGCGGCTTTGGGTAAACCATATAACCTTAAATAAAACTTCTGGAGGTAAAAATACTGTTTCCTAAGTTCAAACATACAGAAATGTCCATTACTTATCTATAACTGGTTTAAAAAAATTATGACAGCTTCACAAACCTTTATCTGAAAATTCTGGGACCAAATGTGTTAGAATTCTGAATTTATTGGATTTTGTCAAGGAAATAACTTGAATATATTACACATGCCCCCCCCAGCAGGGTTTGGTGCTGCAACCTGCAGTCAAAGTAATATTTCTCCAGCAGAGCTTATGAACATTCATGAACTCAGTGGAATAAAGGCTGTCCACAACCTTTATTAGCTCTGGTCAGCCTGGCTTGGCTGCCAAGTAAGTTGTGGTAGAAAACTTAATGAAAACATTTGCTTTTCATAGCTTTCTGGTATTCAGAATTAAGATAACGGATTGTGAGTCTGTGTCACACTATTAAGGCATTGATTAAAATAAAAAGACAGTACCAAGTTCGTAGATAATTTAAACATGTTTTATTGTTAAGAGGATGTCATTTGATGAAATTCTCCATCATTACATAGCTCCCAGAAAATCTTTACAAAAAAAAAAAAAAAGTGAGAGAAAGGTCTCGAAGCAGCAAGTTACTCAATGAGAAAATAGGTGCATATCCAAAATGTTTTTATAGTATGAATGGTCGTGTACTCTGTACTATAAAGTAATTTGTGGGTTTTCCTTATCATTATCTTACATAATTTCACTCACAGTGTAGAAACCACAAGGATCAGAACGATCTAAGTAGATGCAGCGAGGAGAGAGGGCCCCAGGTCAAGCTCTTGAAAAAGATAAAAATAACCTTCTACCTAAGGCGGGCTCTCCGTAGCCACCGAGGCCGGTGGTCACTAGACCAAAAGCAACACCCCAACTACAGAAAAGGAGACTCCAACTCCCAGAAGACCCCGCGCGGAGGTGGGACGAGGGCTTGCAGGCCCCAGAACATCAAGGCCTAGGCTCGCTGAGGATGGCGGGAACTGAAAAGCAGCCGTCCGCAGTCCTCCCTTATACCCGTGCTCCCGCGACCCGGCCCCTTCTCAAGCCCTCTGCACGGTACCTTTCCCCAGGACTCTCTGTTCTTTTTCCCGCTGCAGCAGGGGCCGTACTACCGGGTCGCAGATGGCAGCGCGGGGGCGACGACCCCGGGGCTGGGGACGAGGGGAAACCTGGCCTAGCGGGCATGCAGCGCCTTGTCATGTCGGCGCCGCTGGCGACGGCGGCATGAGCTGTGGCTGGAGAAGCTGGTTGCGTGGTTGCCGTCTTGCTGCTGGGACTCGGGGAGGCTGTCGGTGCAGAGGTGGGCGGCACCCCCTACTCTCTTCATGGCGGTTCTCTCTTCGGAAGTGACTCCGGTGTGAGCGGGAAGGAACCCAAAGACCATCAGGGGGCGGGCCTTACTTGAGGTGCCGCGTCTTGATTGGCTGATATGAGGGTCACTCTGGTGGTGGAGCAATAGGAAGCCTCGGCCTGTAGGGAGAAGGCGGGTTTCTGGAAGGGGGAGGGGAGAATGAAAACTGCCCTCCCCAGACCCGTCACGTGCGCCTGGGGCGCGCGCCTCCGCGTCGGGGCCGCGTCGGCCTTGGCAGGGTGCGTGGGAGTGGGAGCGAGGAGGCTGTGGCGGGTGCTACGACAGCTGGCGACACCCGGCCTGATCCGGGCCTAGGAGCGAGGTTTGCAGAAGTCAGCCTGCAGCTGTCTGCAGTGAGCATGGCCAACACTGTCACGATTGTGCTACAGACGTGCGCAGCTGCGCTAACATTACATAGGCTCTTTAGCATCTTAGGCCAAAATGCCATACTGCTGTCACCATTTCCTCAGAAATCTTCTCTGTCCCATGTGATTTGACCGTTCTGTGAGGGATCTTCTACACTGTAATGAAGTTTTTCCTTTTTTTTTTTTTTTTTTTTAAGGCCGTTGGAGGTTGGGGGCACAGCCAGCCATTGAATTAGACATTTTTTTTTTTTTTATTCTGTAAAAGTGTTTTGTCTGTAATGTGCTTCCCATGAAGTCCCTGCAAATAGACTTTTTTGTTTGTGTGTGTGTGTGTGGGTTTGTTTTATTTTGTTTTGGGGTTTGTTTGTTTTTTTGAGATTTTGAAGGGACCAGTTCTCATCTGTGAAGGCCTTGTGCTTTGAAGGCTGTTAGGCTAGGTGTTCTTTGCAAACAGAGACTGGTCAGACAAGAGTATTTATGAAACCTCACTTTCCATATGTATACAATGGGTATATTACTCACTTCTCTGGGTAATTTTAAGCAATAGAAAACAGCAATGTAAATGAGTTATATTCTCTCATATAATTGGTACATTACAGTCTCTCGTGTAATTGGTACAAATACATGATGCCCTTCCCTTTGTTCTTCAGACAGATTCCTGAAGTAACAGGCCAGTTGCTGTAGGGAAGGCCTGTAATCCTAGCAAGGGGGAGACTGAGGTAGAAGGGTCAAGAGATTAAGGAGGCTGTGGTGATAGTTCAGGGCATAAGGGAACTTGCTTTCCTGACCCGTGACCACATGGCAGAAGGAGAGGACTGATTCCACTCAGTGACTTATCCTATGACTTCTGTCAGCGCGTGCGTGCACACACACACACACACACACACACACACGAGATAAATGTAGTAAAAGACATGTATTTTTTTAAAGAGAGAAATAGATATTGAGTCCAGCCTTGACTATGTAGCAAGATCCTGTCTCAAAAGAATGAAATAAAAATCTTTTGGAGAGTGGGGAAAAAAATCTATTGTAATGATTGTTAATAAACAAAATATTAATCTCAAAGATGTTCAGGCTTTAATTAAGAGGAATGTTTCCTCAGTTGGATAGAGCAAATTCCTAAATGACACACAGAAAAAAATGAACGGTTCTTCCAAATTTATTGTACTGAGATTGAATTGCTTCGTTGCTAGGCGAACTAGACTGACCTGAAATTCACCTCTTTTTTTCCCCCTAGTAGCCCTCAAGAGAAAGAATTAATGAGAATAAAGTGACCAATAGGCTGGCAAAGTAGAAGATAGGAGGTAAAGAGTAAACACAGGTCTTGTTCAGAACATATTGCTATATACCATGTCTTAATGATGTAAGGGAAGAAATACCAAAGTCAAGGGCACTTTTTCCTGCCTCTTGTAACTGAGAATTTACTGTACTCCTTCTATGTATCATTTCTTAAGTTTAAAAATAACACAATAGGCAATGAAAATATGTTGAATGATGACATACATTTGTTTATGCCTTTTAATGTGCATTATTTCCTATCCCTTGCTTGACTTAGCACTTTCTGTTGAATATTTCTACACTAGGATCCCTGCTTCTATAACAGAACACATCCACAAAACTTTTAATCCGATTCATTTCATTGCATGCTCAGTCCATAAAAAGAATAAGGCATAAAAACACGTTCTGCATGATCAGTTAGTCACTTTTCTTGGATTATAGTATTTGAATCATTCAGGTTCGAAAGCATCACTTTAAAGTCTCTGCTCATGCTGCCAAACAATAGTTTTCACATTTTCTTAATCTGATCAGCAGATTATGGAGTAAGTGAGGCAAGAAATCCCTTGATCAATAAATGGAGATGGGGTCATAATGAAAGCACAATTTTAAAAAAGTCTCTCCTTAACTGGGAAGTAGTTACCTAAATCCTCAATAAACATCATGGCTTTTTTCTGCTTAAGCTACACAGGAAAAAGATACAGATTTGGCTTGCAGGGTGGAATACATTCAACATGCTAACAGATGGCTGGAGCCAAGACTCCTTTCCTCCAAAGAGCCGCTGCTCTGTCTCTATATCCATGTTCTCACTTTAAATGTGCACATATGCACCAAACACAAACATACACATTCTAATCTAAGGGCTTCCCCTACCTCTTTAAGGCTGGAATTCTGGGTCTCGTGCATGTGAGGCAAGCATACTGCCACTAATCTATTTTTTTTTCTCCTTTATTTTCTTGTGGACTGGAAATAGATAGCCAGGAAAATATAGACTGTAAAAGCTGGCAAAAGAGCTCTTATTTGTGCTCTCATGGGGTAACAAGTTAGGAGAGAAAAACTGAGGTGAGGATGGGAGAAATGATGATAAACAGTATCAGCAAGACTCAGTGAGAGAGCTAAAACAAATCCCCCAGTGTGTACTGGAAAAAGGATTTGGAGAAAGAAAGGCTGGACTGTAAAAAGTTTGTTTGGTAAGATTTCTGAGCATGGGGTAAAGGAAGCAAGACCCAGAACCTGGAGTGGGTTTTTTGTTTTGTTTTGTTTTGTTTTAATGTATGTGGTATTCTGTCTGCATCTCTGTGCTGTTCACAGAAGGCAGCACAGATCCCCTAGAACTGGAGTTACAGACAGTTGTTAGCCAGCATGCAGATGATAGGAATCGAACCCTGGGTCCTCTGGGTCACCGAGCCCTGTCTCTAGCCCTGCCCACTCAGTGGCTTCTGTACACAAAGTATCTTGAGCCCACTCAGCCCACTTCTAGAGGCACCCCAGAAAGTCAGCAGGCTCAGCTACTGATGCAAAGGACCGGGAGAGATAGAGAGGGAACACTGTTACATGAACAATGGAGCAAGTTTGCTAGGAAGGCAAGCTCAGAGTGGGAGTCCTGAGAGGAATGACTGTTTAGATACCAAGCAGTCACAAAGACTTGCTAAACATTTTGGGCTAATGATCTCACATAGAATTTTACCATTCAGGATTAAGAGAATAAAGAGACTATCGGCACATAACTCGCTAAAATGCTGGAAACATGGAAAGAAACTTCTGGCTTTTACAAGAATGGCATGTTTTTGTGTTGAGATTGTTATAATTAACTCCAAGCTCTCAGAGGGTACCCTAGGGCAGGCCAAGAGACCAAGACCTGTGCTGGGGTGTGGGTGGGGGTGGGAGCATGCAGAGGGTGGTCTGAGAGGTGGGATAAGGAACAGACTCAGAGAAACAGGAAATAATTAACTTGAAAGCCTGACAGAGAAGAAACAGACCCCATGAGGGTCTCAAGAAGGGAAGGTGAGCTCACCATGGCTCAAGACTCCAAGAACAAAACAAAAATCCCTACCTTTGCAAACACATGTTGAACTCAGCAGGGCTGAACGAATGCTTGGGGAAAGCACGGTCTGGCCTCAAGGGCTGCCTGGGAGATGCCAAATTTAATATAATGTCACGAAATCTAAACTTCCTAGGAGGGAAGCAAAACTGCAAAAACCGCAGCTAAGAACACCTACTTCATGTTATTTCACCATGGAACATTTCAAAACACAGTCTCACTAAATCATATTTGTGATTTTTGACATCTCTAACAGTTTCCTGTATACTGCTTAGTTAACTTTATTCTTTGTTAACTTTGCTGGGAAGTCAAACCAGAGCTTGCCCCTGCCATCAAGCTGCATCCCTGACCCCTGCTGTTTGGAGACAGTGCCTCACTGTGTAGTTCAGTCTTTGACTCAGTAGGTAGCCCATCTTTCCCACAATCCTGCTCTACCTCCTGAGAACCAGAATTGTAAACGTGTCATCACAGCTGTTCTGACTTTAAACATAAAACACACAGCACACACACATTCATTGGCTTTTTTTTTTTTTTTTTTTTTTTTTTTTTTTTTTTTTTTTGAGACAGGGTTTCTTTTTGTGGTCTTGGCTGTCCTGGACTCTCTTTGTAGATCAAGACCAAGCTGGCCTTGAACTCACAGAGCTCCACCTGCCTCCCAAGTGCTGGGATTATAAACATGCACCACCATGCCCAGCTTTTTTTTTTTTTTTTTTTTTAATGTATACCTATGTTTGTGTGTACACATATAGGAAGAGAGTAGAGAGAAAAGAGTAAGGTCCAAGTTTCTACAGTGGTAATCTACGTGCCCATCTAAAAGGGTAAAAATGTTTTGGGAATTATTGGTTTTAGAGACTTCGCCTGCAGCCAAGCATTTCTCACACATGGTTAGCGAGCCATTAGAAGGTTTTGAAGCTGAGTAATGAGTCACAGACACATTAAAACAATAACGACTGCCACACGGTTGGGGCACAGAGAAAGCTGGTGCAGTGCACAGGGCATGTGAACTCAGAACTGATTGAATTATAGATTGTTTTTCCTGAAGAATTGAATTCTAACCTCCGGACAGGGAGAAACCCCTGGACATTCCACTGAATATAGTAGGTGACACTGATTCAGTTTTTTTTCTGTTAGTGTCTTTTCTTTTCCTGTACTATAAGGGCTTCTAGATAGAGGGAAGGCTGATGGAACAAACCTCTTTTGGTCTTCAATAATCTAGTGACTGCAGGAAAGATGGGTGAGAAGGGAGAATGACAGGCAGAAAGAGATTTTATGTCTCTTGTTCAAACTGTTTTTCAAGT